CTCCACAGAGAAAAATTGTCCCCTTAATATCAAAGAGGTGACGCTGCCTCGTCTGGCTTTTGGCACAACAGAGATCTCAGGGAAGTGAGGAAGTGGGATGCTCACTGGGTGGGAGGCAGAGGCACTCACAGAACTTCCAAAAGGCTCAGCTGCTGGGCTGGGTGGGACTGCAAAGAAATTCAGAAACTCAACAAACCCTCTTCCAGAACTCACAGCTCCTGCTAAAATTAGTCAGTGGGGTCAGGAGCACCTCTCAGAGGAATAAAAAAGGCTTCTTCTCTTCTTGGTAAGGTCACCAAAGAGATCTCTGTCAYGCAAAGGTAGCACAAACCTTCTGCTCTGTGCTCTCAGTGCAGYAGCTCAGCCTTCCCCCAACACCTCCAGCACTGCCACCTAGGCCCCAACACTYCAACAAAGATATTTTCCCTTCTTTGTCTACTTTGATTTTTCAAATGCCACTTCAGATTCCTGTTTCACCAAATGCAGATAACGTGAATATGGCTTTCCCCCCACCCCCCGAAGAATATAATTCGCAGGAAAGCATTTTTACAGCAACCCCAATTTAATCTTCTTTTTTTTTTTCCCCGTGATTATACAAACTGATCTCCAGTCTCATCTGCTCAACTGTCACATCCTCCCATCCCACTGTTGCTCTAATTGCACACTGCTGAGCCCCCTCGATCATTCTGGTACCTCTTGGTAATGGCAGGAATTCTCCCCTCTGCAAAGTGGCATCACAGCCTTTCATTTCTGCTTTTGATTCTGCTGTAAAAACGAGGCGAGGAAAGCGCTGGCTTATTTCWGAGACACTGATGTTGCACCACAATCTTTTATTCAGTCTCTTCTTACCCCAGTGGATTTTTTGTTTGGTATTTTTAACTCTAAACTTTCCAGGCAGCCACCTCCTGTTAGGTATTTGTTCCAATTGTCAGTCCTACTTTGGATCTACATCTTTACCACCTCACTGAGGATAACAAGATGTTCTTACCCTTTCTGAACACCACGCAGTCCTGATCCTAACGCTTCTCTGACTCTTTGATTTCACCTCACCTTAGAAATACATCAGGAAAAAACTTAGCCTTCCTTAAATCCACAAACAAAAATAACACAAAAGGCCTGGGTTCTGATGGCTGCAGAACACGAGACACACTCCTCATCTGTAGGTGAAGTTGGCTCTGCACAGGGGCAGATGTTAATTTGTTCAGTGCTTGATGGGCTTGGGGTATTTATCAGCAGGTTTATCCAGGCCAAGGTTTTACTTTTCCATTGCATCTCTCTCTGTGGCATTGCATCCAATGTTTTAAACTAAACCACTGCATGCCACAGCCACTGCACTGCTCTCACCCAGAAGAACAGACACAATGACAGGGATTACACCAGATTCCTCTGCTCCTATCGGCTCTCCAGTGTATCAGCCAGCAGATGCACTTTGCCCTGCTCGCAGTGAAAGCAGATACAGTGCCATAACTCAATACACTTAGGCAAGCCTCAAAAGAGAAGAAGCTTCATCAAATTATGCCTTGTCTGACCYAGAAGCCCTCCCCAGGCACTCCTGCAGCCCCRCTGCTGCACCAGGGTATGGCAGCGCATGTCAGCACCTCAGCTGATCCCATTCCCAGTCTTCCATCCCAGCTTAAAGTCTCCCCTAATGCCCTAAGACATAAGATGTGCAGCTTTCTGCTGCTGTACCTCAGTAGCTGTTSCCTCAATATTTAATCTTGTAAGCTGTTAATGCACAGATCTGTGCTAAGCAGCAGGGCTCAGCCTTTTCTGCTCTCAAAGTTTGCTGCCCTCTTTGAATGCAGCAAAGGCCATTCTTTTACTTCTCAGACCTCAAGCAAAAACTCGTTCCATTTTGACCCAGCGAAAGTCCAGGTGGTTTTCTTCCTTTCCCTTAAATGTGCAACACAAATTTTTGGCCAGGCAGCCCCTTTGCATTTCTTTTCATTTTTATTTATTCACTGCAGCCTTAGTTGGYTTTTTTTTTTCATTAAACAAAATAAATAAAAGCCCGGAGGCAGCGCAGCCTCGTCTCCGGAGATGCCGGCAGCTGCCCTGGCTGCCTCGGTGCCAGCGCCATGCCAGCTGCGGCGCAGGGCATGCRGCCACTGCCAGGACACGGCAGGAGGCAGGGCAGGGAGGTGCCAACCTGGCATCTCCCCGAGCTGCTGGGCTCTTTCAGCCAGGAATTGCTTCTTCCTCCCTCCACGCTCCAAGAGATGAGACGCTTTGCYCCCGATCCGAGCCCGATTTCAGTACGTGCCTGGGATGTTCAAAGCCAATCTCAAAGGAATATGTATGGCTCYGTATGAAGTGGTCCATGCAGCATCCCCAGCTTTTTGAGCCTGGACTAGAGAGGCGCTAAGCCAAAGCTCTGTCAGACACAAATCTGTTGGGTCACACGGTCCCTCGGGCTCTCAGCTCCACCTATACCAGGAAACCTTTTTCAGGGATATTCTTCAAGACAGAAGTAATTTAAACTCCYGAGCACAACTCATCCTACAGGATCTATTTTCTGAGCAGTGTGGGAAGGTACCGGCCTGCACAACCATTTATTAGCACAAATAGGAGTGTATGTTTAACTCTGCGGAACGGGTAGAACAAAGGATTATTAAATAAAATTCCCATTAGTTCAGCTGAAAGCAAAATACCAGCTGGAGCCTGGGGCAACGCAGGCATGTTATCAGCAAACATGTGCTGCCAGCGCATCTGCACACACACACACACCCCCAGCTCCGGCCACGGAGAGCCTCAGCATGGAACARCAGAGCCACGGCACTTCCATCATGCTCCAAAGGCTCTGGCCCTGCCCTGAGCCTTCAGCCCTACAGAGCTGCACAACRGGAACGAGAGTGATGAAACCTGAGTGTTCCCACCTACCCTCCTACCAGCAGCCATGTTTTGTTAGCGTTCCAAGTGGGAACACAGCCACTCCACGCAGCTACCGCAGAGTCCCACCGCCTGGAATCACACACGGGGCACATGGCTCTCCCTCCCACCAGCCTGCCTSACTGCAGCCATACTCATTAACAGTCCATCGTTTGGATTCGGGTGCAAAAGTTAATGAAGTCACTTTGTGAGAGGGCAGCCTCCCCAGCACAAGATAAATAATGGATATAAAAGCAGGCTGGGAGGGAACTGGCGCATCCCTGCAAGGTCATGCTGGAATGCATCAGTGGCTCACTGATGCTGGGCTCCTCCGGTAAGAAGCCTGGAGCTATTTATGACTCATGTAATTAATTAATGCCAATGGGCGTTCTGCTGCAGGCACGTGGGAGAGCAAAGGGAAATACGAAGTGGGCACGTTAGGAAATGTAGTGGAGGTGGGAGAGAAGGATGACATTTCTTGTGGCAAGACATGCTTTGAAGTAATTACCAGCAGTCTAAACAGCCAGCAGCTCTTTCAGCTATGTCAGTACAAAATCAATTAGGAGCTTTAAAAATGCACCGGGCTCATATGTCCAAAAAGCATTAAGAATAAGAAGTAGCCTTGGAAGGAGAGCACTTGCATTTCTAAGCACCACAAGACCCTTCCCCAGATCCTCAGACCCCACAAATGGTGCGACCAGCAGAGGGAGCACCGTTAATCGCTTCCCAATCACAAATGGTTTGGGATGAGAGCACTGAGGACGATCCACAGTTTGATTTTATGAGTCTCTAAAGCCTGAGGACAAATTTAACAGAAGCAAGAGGAAGGAATGAAGGCGAATGCTGAGAAAGCAGAGTCCTGCAGGCACTGAGGGCTCCTGACACACACCTTCCCTTTCCAAAGCCAGGTTTCCCAACACTGGGAGCAATCCAAAATTGCAGATCACATGAAGAAAGGGACCACGGCTGTGGCTTCCCTGCTCCAGCTTGCACTACTGCAGTCTCACACCGCACACTCAACATGTGGTGACGCTGAGTCATGACACCGCGCTGGCACAGACCGTTTGAGGACAATGAGAGCTTAACCTAATTTTGTCCCTTTGTTTGTCCTCTGCACAAGATCAATCAGTTCCACTCCCTGCCTTCACATCCCCCTGCATCCAGTGCCCGATACATTATTAAAATTGTAAATACAAATAAAGAGCACTCTCCACCTCCTCTGGGACGGCTCTAAAGTCCTTCTTGGTTGTCCAGCTCCCACCCAGGCTGCATCCTCTCTCATGTCTCATTGTTGCCAGAATATCTTCTTACCGTTCCCAAATGTATCCATGTATTGTCCTCACTCCCTCTTATCACAGCTGCCTGCAACAAATCTTCTCACAAAATAAGGATTGCAAATTTGCTTACAAGCTGGTGTTGTTTTCCATTCCTGCTCCTCTGTGCATCTCATTTCTCTCTGGACACTTGCAGGGGTCAAGCACCACAGCCTCAGTCTGCCACAGCCATCTGGATGAGCAGCAGAGGCTGCCTGCAGTCCCAACCCTGGCTGGCAAAGCCTGGGAGATTGCAGGATGCTCCCCTTTGAGCCTTACCCARCCTCCACAGTCTAGGGGGATCGTGTTTTCTACTTTCTGATCACAGCCCAAGCCCTCAGATCCTGGTGGGACTCCCCACCACTATCTGCTGTTTTTCTGGAGCAGATCAACAGCAGAGATTAAAAACAAGAAGAAAAGGGTAAGTGAAATGAGAGTCGGGTTTAGTTTCATAAATATATATGAGTAGAACAAGAGCAACAAAGTGCTTCTTTCTGGTGGGCTGAGAATCAACACCAGCCTGAGTCTCCAGGGTAAAACAGGAGCGAAGTAAATGACAACACGAACACCCACTTAGCATTCGTGCTACATATTCCTGCTCTGAGCCTCAGCAGCTTTAGGAACGCTCCTGTTAAACAGTGTAATGCTCCCAATTACAAGTGATCTGGATTGCTTATTTTCTAAACAGATTTCCCCCCATCCCCCCGCCAGGAGATCCCATAAGCCTAAGACAAAAGCAGTCTTGAAGAGGTGTTTTGACCTCCTTTGGCTATACAATATCCATAGTTTTCTCCATTTCCCTAATTGTTTCATACTGACCTTGAGGATATTTCGGCCATTAAACGACTCCCGCTCCTTGAAAGATGATTTACCAGTCATTGTGTTGCTTCGCTCTTCAGCTGYAGAGAGAAAAGGAACCACCAGAATGAGCTTCAGATGGGAGAACTCTGTGTGCTGTACTTCACCCCCCACTCTCTCCCTCCCCAAAGTCAGCTGTCAGCTAATAAACCATCTTTGGCCCAGTTCTTAGTGCAAAAAAACCTCACTTGCACTTGGATTTTAAGGGGAAAAGGCTGGAATTAGTGCCTCTGTKGGGATCACCTGTTACCTGGAGGAATGACCCTAAACCATAGCTACTGCTGGGGTGACTCTGCACGGCTCATGGCTCAGTGCAACACACCTGCTTCTCTCTGGCTGGTTGTGATCCACATCCTGCCATGTCAGGGTGAGAGACAGCTCTTGCATGGCCTGGAAMAGTACCAAATTCCAGGCTGAGCATGCCAGCACAATGCCAGGCGGGATGCAGATGGCATTGACACAAACCTCTGCTGCATGCACCATCCGTGTGCTGTGGATGCTCCTGCAGGGTGGGCACACAGCCACACTCACACAGAGACATTCAGAATAGCAACCTAGGCCTACAGCAACTGCCAAAAACCTACATCTGAGATCCATTTCCCCAGAGCATGTTTGAGTTTTTATATAATCCCCAAGTACATGATCTGCTCTTTCCACAGGACCTCTGCCTCACTCGGTGAATATATTCAGTATTTCTTTTTCATCTCCATCATTAACTATGAAGTCCCCCTCACATCCAGCTTGCTATTCAAATCCTGTATGGAATACAAAGCGACTTCTATTGCTGCCTGCGGAATGCTGGCGGAATGCTCTCCCCATTGTGTCTGAATGCCTCGCATGCCTCATGGGGTTGTGCARAATGCAGACTCAGGGTGCCAGACTAGCTGCCCATGTGCCTCCCCTCACAGAGAGCCACATCAGCACTCTGGGCTCACATTTTTAGGGCCCAGTTTTTRGAGCTGAACCCCATCTTTACAGGGTTTCTACATCCTGAGTGTGCTTGTTTGATTTCAGCAGCAGTCAAACCCAAAACCTGCCCAGAAAATCATGACACAAATCCCTGCTGTTATCACTGTCCACGTAGAGATTCAGAGAGGCAACAGTTAAAGAATTCTTGACACAACCTATTGCAGTGCACAGGGGCCACAGTGCCAGAGCACACACGTTTGCACATGGAGAAGCAGGCTGTGACATGCTGCCCCTCCCCAAACACAATGCTTTTAGGGCTGCTTTATAAAGTAATGTGATCAGAATGATGCTACAGACAGCCAGAGCAGACAATCTTTTGGCAGACAGCAGACGCCATGCACTCAAGAATAGCTCACATTCAGCCTCGCAGCTGTCTGCATCTGATTTAAGGAGAAAGACAATGGGGAGACAATGGAAAGGAGAAAGACAACTTTCCTAAAGCAATGGGCAATCTTTAAATTGACCAAAGAGGATTATGTTTTCATCTTGCATAAAGGTCAGTACAACACATGGAGTTGTTACCAGTTTCAATTTAAAACTGGGGCCCAGGGAATCCAAGATCTCCCTCCATGAGGAGCAACTGAGGTCATTTGCTCTATTCAGGAGCTTGCTGAAGGAGACAGAGSAGAGACCTCATCAGGGTCTGCAGCTTCCTCACGAGGGGCAGTGCAAAGGCAGCTCYGATCTCTGCTCTCTGTGACCRGRGACAGGACCCAAGGGAATGGCTGGAGCTGTGCCAGGGGAGGTTGGATATTGGACAAAGGCTCTTCCATCAGAGGGTGGTCATGCACTGCAACAGGCTCTCCAAGGCACTGGTCATGGCCCCAAGGCTGCCAGAGCTCCAGAAGMATTTGGACAACACTCTCAGGCACAGGGTGGGATTTTTCAGGTGTCTGTGCAGGGCCAGGARTTGGACTCAATGATCCTTGGGGGTCCCTTTCAAATCTGGATATTCTATGATTCTACTTGAAYATATTTTTCCCTAGACCAGATACTATAAGTGCTACTGGGACAAGGTTTTGAATCTATGACTCTGTTAATTGCTTTTTTACTTTCTTCTGGGTTTTATCTGCAGACATCTTCCCCCAGACCTGTAGGCATTCTTGAGAGTAAGGAAAACCGCATTGAAAAATCAAACAACAAAAGCATTTGCTGAGCAGTGGAATTACTTTAAATGCATTTATCAGCAAGGATGAACGATCTGTACATACTKGGATCTTTCCTGAAGAGAGTGTTCATGACTGTGGCATGCAGCTTCACCCTATCCCATTCTTTAAGCATCAGGCCAGAGGCCACAAACCGCTCCACCAGCTGATCAGCGACCATCTGCAGTCTGGGAAGGCAGAAAGAGAAAGAAAAGGGCAATGTAAAACAAGAAGCCTCTGCATCACCAGCTTGTGGCTTTTTAGCCAGRAGGGCAGCAAGTGTGAAATGAAGTCTCTGCACGCACACAGGAAAGGGAGCTAGTCCCTGATGGAAAGCGAGCAGAGCCATCAGGATTCAGCTCTAATGCAAAAAGTTCTGACTGCTGCACAAAGCTTTCTCTGTGATCGCTTCTGCTGCAAATATTCCATGAGGAAGGGCAGATTTAGCACAGCAGAGAGCTCGTTCACAGTGACAGATGTTACTGGGAGCTGAAGGATGCATCTTTCTACTGCCAGGAAACACAATGTGACTCTCCTTGCAAATGCTAAAATCTGCACACCCGCAGGGGCTTAGGCACCTTGACTCCCAGAGCTTCTGCTCAGGGACGGCTGGAGCCTGGATCCTCTCTGTCCCAGATAAGCACCCCAGTCCCTGGGAGTGGAGACAGGGGGCACAAACCCAGTCAGCACATCCTGGTGAACACTCCAGCTTTGGAGCTACTGAGCAAGTAAAATCCAAGGACTTATTCCCATTGTTCTGTGTGGCCTCGGTCAGGGAGGAAAGTAGCTGTGGCTGCCAGGATCTGAGGGCAGACCCATCCTAGGACAGGCAGCAGGAGCAGGGATCAGAGCARTGCACTCATGTCTAAGGAGCTGAAGGAACTTCCAGGCTGCTGCTGTCTCCCAAAAATTTCTGCAGTGCTCGATTCTTACCAAAAGCAGCAAGGATGTGCCAGAACAAGAGCTTCCCATCTCCAAAACAAGGCTAGAGGGTATTAAATCCATGCAGAAGAATCTGAGCTTCTCCCAGCACGTCCCAGGGGTTAGCYAGCTTTCTGCTCCATGAAGTGCCACCTCACTGGTGTCTCAGCTGTGGCACAGCGTGGCTGGTCCCCAGAGCTCGGGACTGCCATGCTCTGGATGCCAGCTCTGACCCTGCTGCTGGCTTTGGACTGCCCCTCACAGGCTGCCAGCCCCAATGTGACCATTTCAAGACTCTCAGACTACCAATTGTCAYGGCTTTCTACCATTTTCTGGCTTTACTTCAGTGATTTTTAAAATTAGCARTGACAAAGATTAAATGAATATCATTACAGACAATACTAAAACAAATTAACAGAGAATAGCTCAAGTGAAAATGGTGCTTTATTATGTTATAAAGTTAATCAAGGAAATAAAACAAATTAGAATGAATTATAATGGAAATTATTTGCCATGTGGGAGGCATCAGAGCATGATCCCTCTTTCAGTCTGCGCCATTATATGTGCAGAAGGGCTTGCCAACCCCTAATTCTGTCTGCAGTTATGCAAGCTAAGTCAGGATAAATCAAATCTCTTGCTTTACAGCTTAAGCTGATCAAGATCATCCAAAGATCAGGAAGGAACTCCACCCCTCAGCCATGCCAGGAACTACACAGAGCTGACAGGACATCTTGCATGAGACAGGAAGGCACACACCTCTCTCCAGCACAGGCTGCAGCAGTCTGATCCAGCACAGGAAGCCACACGCCTGCTACTCTCCTCTAGTATTGCCCTTGCAGCTCAGAAACTGCTTTCCCATTTCCCTGAGCAAGGCACAGCAGGTTTCAGCAGGCAAGAAGTTCAAGGAGCTGTTCAGCAATGATGTGTGTCACAGGCCAGAAAACAAAGCAGGATTTTCTGGAGAGATCACCATTTGTCCCCTTTTTATAATCACTGCTAGTCCAACACAGTGTCTCCTGGAATCTCAAAGGAAGCAAAAGCTCCTTTCCATCAACCCAAAAACACCTTTTTTCCCCACTCTGCAAAGCTAGATATTTTTCTGGATATTTGCTAATAGCTAAGAAACTATGTAAGGGGAGAATGCCAGATGAATGATATCACAAGAAGGTGCTTCACCCAGAGGATGGCTGGGCACTGCAACCCAGCTCCCCAGGGAGTGGTCATGGCCCCAAGGCTGCCAGAGCTCCAGGAGCRTTTCAACACTCYCAGGGACACAGTGGTGTTGTTGGGGTATCCTGGGMARGGYCACRAGTTGRACTCAATGAACCTGATGGGTCCCTTTCAACTCAGCCTATTCTATGATTCTGTGAATTAATTTGCCCAGCCTGGGCCAAAGATTGAACCTTCAAACCACTTGGCCCTCTCTGAGCCTGCTGCTATGCAAAAGGTGTTGAGGAAGTAGAAACCTGGCAATCTCCAGGTGCCATGCAAAGCACAAGGTCTGGGTTTGGTCAAAACCTCAGCTAACAGATCTTTGTGAAGGACAGTGAAGACATCAATCCTTTCCCCGGGGTGTTTGAAGCCCTCACTTCTCTCCTTTGCCCAAAGCAGCTCTCTCTGCCACCCCTGATGCACATTTCTCCAGCATTATGCATAAGTGGGGTCTCAGAACAAGGGATACAGCTGGCATCTGAACAGAGCACAGAACAAATATCAAAAATTCCAGCTGTCCCCAGAGGCAGGCGGACATCACTGTCAATTTAGGCCCTGCTCACACTCTACAGGATTCCTCTCCCAGCTCCTCAGGCTGCAGACTGACTTTCAGATGSAACCAGGCTGGCAAGCACTGCATCTCAGAGAGAGCCAGAACTCTGTGACTCAGGAGAAGAGACTCAGACCTCAGCTCGAAGAGCTGATATTTTAGATGCACTCTACAACAAACCCACTGAAGGGCATTTGGGTCATCCAATGTCTGTCTCCAGCTCATCTTTCTAAGTGCTTCTGCCCTCTTTCTCCCCCTGCTCTGTCTCCTGGCTGATCTCTGCCTTGCCCTGGCTCTCCACCTGCCCCATTTGTTTTTATCTCACCTCTTTCAGGGCAGGACAGACTTCAAAGTGGAAGAGCCRAGAAAAGGAAAATATTTCAATTCTCACTGCCTCCAAGCAGTTCTTACATTTTTCATTTTCCCGCTCATTTCCTTATCCCATTTCCGATCTCTTACTTCAACATAGCCTCTGAAGTGTGGTTATAAGCAGGGCCCCTCGCCCAGTCTCCTCAGCCCTCAGGAAAAGGATGTGCCAGAACATATCCCTTCTTCCCTGAGCCAGTCCCTGCTCACAGCCTCCCTCCTCCAGCTGCACTGCTCCATGCTCCTCTGCTAGCTCCTGCTGTCCTCTAGCAATAGGAACAGACAACAAAAGGGCAGTGCTGTCAGGAAAAGAGAAGGCTGAGACTCAGAGACAGGAGRTAGAGCTCTTTTGGCTACTCTCCTTCCCTATTTCTGGCAACCAGCAGCACAGAGTACAAAAGCTCTTATGTTAATCATAGAATGTGCAATGGTTTGGGTTACAAGAGGTGTTAAAGATCATCTGGTTCCAAACCCTGCCATGGGCAGAGACACCTTCCACTAGACCAGAGTGTTCCAAGCCCCAGCTGTGTTTCCTCAGTCTTTTAGAAAACACCAAGAGAAAGGATTGTGTTGCCACTGGTGATTAACTCATCAAAAATGAGACAGGAAGGTTGTCCAGACACTGTCACATCCTGGGCAGTGCTTTCTGTAGAGCTAAAGCCATCGRCCATGGAGGTGAACAGCACAAACACTCGAGCTGACACCACTCAGGCAGCAAGATTTCGCAGCAGCAGCTCCAAAAGACATTTCACACCCAGCGCCTATTCCAGGCTGCTACAGACACACAAACCAACTCTGTAATCAGGTCATGCTCTTCTGAGGACCTTCTAGGCTAACAGGGTTTTAASAATAATTAAGTGCTGCAGAATACACCAGGCTGTCCAGATTAATCTGGATTGCAGGTTGGGAACTAGACAGTAGAGGCCAAATCATCTTGCCTTCTAAGTCATCTCAGGAGTATCTCCTTGACCATCTGATCTCCGTGCGAGCCGTGACTCCATTATTCACCCTGACAGACTGCTGCAGGAGCAAATGACATCTTTCAGCTGCACCACCAGTGACTGATTTAAAGAGCAAACACATCACTGCCTTAACCGCTTTAGGAAGCAAGGATGATTTCATCTTCCTGACTGCTGGCCTGAGGACTGCCAGCAGAACCCATCAGCTCCAGAGGGTTTCCCCGGCACTCTGTGGAGGAATGAAAGATAGCAGCAAGGGGAACTCACCTGTTTGAGCCATCCTTCATGTGGACTTTGGCATAAAGGACATCCGTCATGGCAGGGTCGTCATTCATGTACTCTATTCCTGCTACCTCCACWGTCAGGGGCTGGCCTCCAGTAATTTGGCTAAAACCCAAGAAATCCCTCATGTTAAAAAGCAAAACATCACACCCACTCTTGAAATGCAACACATAGTGCTCACCAAGTATTTGGGTTTACTAACGAAATATTAGATACTTATTTTGCTGTAGCTAGACAAATTTGAGGTTAACTGGGACGTAAATGTTATACAGAACATATAGGGCAGTGAACTACACTGATGAGTTCTTTCCTTTCCCCTATTTTTCAGCTTGTTTGCACTAAAGGAACCAAAACTCAAAAAATATCCCTAATTCCTAAAGCTCAAAACACTATGGACACTATTACCTTAACCCCCCAAGTAGTAAAATAACTTAAATTCATACATTCAGTGTTTCAGACACACATTAACTGCAACTTGCCAGGGCTCACAGGCCGCCTCAACATGGAGATCTCCATCCACAWGTCAGAAAACCCAGCAGAGGCAAATGGTACAAGTTCTCATTCCAGAGAGGCTCCTGCCTCCCTGTGAAAAGAGCAACCATGAAGTCTCCAGCTCTCTGATTTTCACTGGGAAAGGTACTCAATACAGAACACAGCTCGGGATGCAACATCCACCAGTAAACAGAGCTGGTTAAAATCAGCTCCAGCTCTTGGTGCAGGATATAATATGCACTCCCACACCTGCAAATGCTCTGTGGAGTGTATTTGCTTCCCAACATGCCGCCTCCTTGCCTTTCCCAGCAGAGCATCCCGGTGCTGCAGCAAGCACTCCCTGCAAGTGATGCCTCGTTTAACACCCAGGCCTTCTGGAAAGAAYAGGGAGTGTCTGGGTGTGCAGATGTAACAAATATGAGTTAACAAGGTGAGTGTGACTTTGCTCTGACCTTGCTCACTTCTGTTCAGCTTTTGAGGYTCTCAGCAAAGATTCCCAAGTGAAATCAGCAGAGCATGATTTCCGTTCCCACCATAGTTACTGGAAGGAAAACAGCACAAATGTACTATTGTGGACATCACACTAACAGCACTAAAGGTCAYGTATTCTAAAAAAGGGTCAAAAAGGTCACAGCGACCATCACAGGCCACTGCCTACACTTTAGAAAAGGAAATAAAGTTTAATGAAGGTTTATGTGGGTGGAAGGGAGCCTAAATTAATTTTCCAAGTATATTTATTTGGGCGTGGCAGGGGAAATAACCTAAAAGTTACCTCTAAGTGTTGATTCCCCCTTCCCTAAAGGAAATAGGGAGCAATGATTTTCTCGGCCGCAGCTCAATCCACTTATGAGGAAGCTGGCACTTTTCAAATATTGCAGTCAGAGCCTCCCCCTGGAAAMACACTTGCATTTCTGTTCAACAGCTGAACTGGAGCCATCCTTTTAAAAGCAGAGGTATGAATTCTGGCCATGCATTAATTCCCACAGATTTTAGCTGGCACAGCATGGCCAATTCTTCATGCACCGATGCAGCAAATAAATGAATGCAAAGGATCCGTGCTTTGTATGCAAAGGCTTTGCAGAAATAAATAAATAAATAAATAAACCACTCCCTCAGGCCATCCTCAATTTCTAAGCTGAACAGAGATAAGCTAATTATGGTGTCACTGGACCACATTTGCAGCTAAAGCCCCAACATCTGCAGCTCAGTGTTAACAGGCAGCTTGGAAGCCGTGCTCCYGGAGCAGCACGGACTGTTTCAGGCTGATTATTCACAAGGCTCCTGCTGGCTTCCCTGCACACAGMTCTCTTCATCCAGAAATGAGTGTCAAGGACACCTCAGCATCTGYTCTGAGGCAGGAGGGAAGTTCCAGAGCCAGAGTCCACTGCAGGCAGTGTGCAAAGGTAAGGGAGCTTAGCCCTCCCACTGCAGCAGGCAGGGGACAGTGGCAAAAACTGCTCATGGRACATAGAATGAGAACACACGTGAGGAAGAGAAGTGAGCACAGCAGGTTTTCAGCGAATGCTGAGGGTTTGAGCTGAGCTATAGACACTGTAAGACTCTCTGTGGCTGCTTAGCGATTTCTACTGTGCCATTTGAAACACTTCAGCTTTTTCCTCAGTTTCCAGAGTTGAGGGAGACTACTGAGCTGCTTTTCCCTTTACTACTCTCCCCCCTCACTCAAGGCCTTGGTTACGACATCCCTTTTTGCCACCACTTACTCCACAAAGTCCTCTTTGCATTGCTGGAGGAGGTCACACGCTTTCTGGATCTCTTGTTCGTTCAGGAGCACCAGTGTCCCAAGAGTCAGGTGAAGCTTTGCAGGGTTCTGGAACAGGCTGCTGCTGACTCCRTGATCCTACAAATCAATCCATCACATATAAGTGTCTCACCTCATCCACGCACACCCTGCCCCACCACAGAGATAAATACAACAGAAAACAGGTACTAAGTTACTGGCATCAATCTTTTTATCTCTGGTCAGGTTGGTAATGACTTGAAACTGAGAATTTCCCAGTTTTGTGAGGAAAGAAGCTTAGCCTGGCAGGTGAGATGCCGTCCCAGCACAGCTTCCTGCCTGCTTTTCCATCAGAGCTGCTGAACAGCAGTCCCAAAGCTCATTTTGGCAGGCTGTAACTTGGGACCCAGGACCTGCAACACTCATTCGTACAGTGTTTTTTTGGGAGATTTCCACAGCCATCAACGCAGCAGCTGCTACCAGCAATGAACTCAGCACAAGCCAGTTCAGACTTAAAACTTAAGTCCATTTCTTGTGCAGTAAAGYCAGGACCAGCTGTAGTGACAAGCTCTAAATGGTCTCTAAATCCTGTCCAAACACACGTTGCACCTTACAACACAAGCACAGCTAATACCAGCCCTAATAATTATATTTTTCTTCTTCCCATGTGCCCTAGTTTGCCAAGATGAATTAAGTTTAAATTCCCTTTATAAGAAGAGCTGTGCATTGCTGCTGGAGAGGAACTGTTCCCAGGTGGAGCAATGGTTACATTCAGCTTTAAGAAACACACTCTATTGTTCTAGGATACTTATAAAAATACCTCAAGGATGATTAACACACCCATATTAAAACAATTATTTCCACTTAGTGGCCATTTCCCATCAGTGCATTAAATCACCTCCAATTTTAACTCCAGAAGAAGCCAACATGCCAGACCATGGAAGCCTTTCTCTGCCTGAAAAGAGTGCACCAGCTGAGAACAGCTTTGAAGTTTCTACTGTGCTCCACAATTTGAAATAAAACCTTTCAGATGTTTAAATGCTGCAGTATCTCAGCCCGTCAAGAGTTTAATGTCCCACATCCCACTCAGCGKTTTTCATGCCTAATGACCACATCCAGACCCTTCTTTACAGTACAGCTTATGGGCTGGACGAGGGACAAGACAGGCTGCAAAACAGAGGTCTGGAGCTTGCTCCAGCAGCCACAGCCTGGTAAAAACCAGAGATGGCCCCATCTCAATTCTCATCACTTTCCCCTCTCTGCAGTAAAAGCTTTGTGGTTTCCTTTAATTCATCCTGCTGTTCACATGCATGACAGGGCATGATTTCTCTCCATCAGCCTTTTTTGTCCAGTGATATCCACTCAGAGAACATTTGGCCCATCACAAAACAACAGCTTGGGTAACAGAAACTGGGAGAAGGTTTGATTTAACCTTGCCTTGAACAASCAGCTGATGTCACTCCCACAGGGCACACAGATGAGGTACAGTAACAAAGCCATTCAGCAAACCAAAGCCCTGCCCTCATTTGCTGCCCCAGCACGATTTGTGCTGTAAACATGACCCTGCCTCAAAAGCAGCATTTTCCCCTGAAGTTTTCAACACCTGAGTGTGGGCTGAGAGCTGACAAACGATGGCACATCACCTCCATGAACCCCACTACTGCTGCTGGGGAGTTTAGCAGGCAAGAGCAGTGCGCAGCGAGCAGGCCAAGACCTAGATAATCTTCCTGGTTTACTCCCTAGTATTTCAGGCAGCTCCTAAAAACCCTGCTTACACTCCCTACTCTTTCACAGGCTGGCAGATCCCACTTCTCCCACACATAAAATAGATGCTGCGTCACAGGTAGCACTCCCTGGAACAGCCAACGTTCCTGAGGGAGTCTCAGCAGCCTTTCCTGGCTGGATACTGCTCGCCAGGATGCAAAAAGGCTGGAACYCACTTATTCTAATCCCAGATTATGACATGACATCAGCAGGGCTGAGTCGCCTCACTGGAACCTGCCCTATTGTCTCTAAAAATTTACTGTTCAAACCCGGGCTCTTCAAGGATGTACTGAGAGGGAGGAAGAATAATCCCTTTATGCACCATCCTTATGTGATGACTGCCCTTTTTAGCTTATGCCTCTACCTGACACTGCCCTGTCACAGTCAAAAAAACCTAACTYGTTTCCACTCAGTCATTTTTCCTCMCTCCTRCTACTAAAGACTTCTGCTCTCCTTCTTTAGAAGGAACACAGAAAGGGTTTTATCTGGGATCTTCCATTCTTTGCAAAAGCTGCTGTTGCCCCAAACCTAACACCCTATAGCAGGGAAACCATAAACCAAAACATACTTCAGCCYTTCTACATGGCAAGGCAAAGGATCAAGCCCCTTAGCTCTTCTGCCCTGGGTGTGCCCWCTCTACAGTTTTAAGGGTTTCCAATGTTAGAAGACAACTTTATGTTGTTTGGGTTTTTTTTCCCTTAAGAGCTGGATACTGCATGCCAACTACATGCCCTCTGCCACCCTGATCCACAAACAAAGGAGCAAGCCAGGAAAACAGCATTTGCACAGGACTGACTGAAGAACTACAGGCTCAAAAAACCCTCCCACTTTGTCCCTTCCACTCTGAGATATAATACCTCATTAAYAATGTTTGATATTTACAGCAATCATGTTTCTTTTCTCTGCTACATCTACAGCCTGTTCAGCCTGCAAACACTGCATTTGCACAGCTCTCAAAGACCCAACTGTGATTTTTCACAGCARTGTTACTGCAAGTCTCCTCTCTTTTCCACCTGCATGCTCAGACAGACATCTCAGTTCGCCTCCCTCTGACACCTACATGATTGTGCAAGGAGACTTCCAAGGTCATCCAGTCGTCCGGTCCTCCCACTGCACCACATCAGTGATGAGCCTGTCCAGGTGAGCCACCTCTCCATAATTATATTAAATTACCTAAAAGAGCCTCCCCTTAGCCCTGCTTCATTTGCCTGGCAGCCCTGAATGTACAGCATGAACAACACCTGAAGTGTTCTGTATTTCAGCACAATGTTTATTTTCTGAAAGGTTTTAAAGACACACACACAAAAAACTTAGAAAGCACATACCCACCGACATAATGCTATAAAATATAAATGAATGGTTGTCATGGTAACTGCTTCAGAGAGAAACAGAGTCCCTCACAAATGCTCAATGGCCAGAAGAAATCATACACACACACACACATACACACACCTGGTCCTTTCCCTTCCTTACCATTATTACCCCTCATTCAAAGGTTGGAGTTTACCCAGTTCTGCGATGTTTTGTACCAGGAAGAGAAATGCTCCATTTCTGACACTGAAACCTATTCAGATTTCCTCAAGTATCCAGAGAAATCCCATTGCTTTGGACAAATCTATAAGCTCTCTTATTGCTCTGCACGGCACAGTTTTGAATTACTGTTTTTCATTACTGATGTGCTTTCTAGCAGACCCTGCTGTGAGATAAAGTGGTATTAGAGTGGCATTACCGGCTGGAGAAATGATTGAGAGACGCACGGGGCTGCAATGTGCTCCTCCAACTAACAGGAAGCAATAAATATATCTAGAAACCCTATTGCTAATATCAGGAGAAGGAAGGACAGAAAAATAAAGCACTATATATTCCTAGGCTACACATATGCAACCCCCCGAATATCTGTTACTGACTGAGTTCTACATTTCAAACTGAAAATTGAAACTCTAGAGCTGATGTAAGCAGTGCCAGAAACATTTCAGGCCCTTACGGGACTCAGCGCTGYTCAGACACAGAACAAAAATTGCAGGACAGCCACAAGGTCAGGAAGGAGGAGGAAAGATGAACATGACCAGCCTGGTCTCAGCACTTCTATGACTAAGGCTGGATTGCTGCAGTTTTCTGAGACAAGGAGCATGCGAAGGTTTGCAGACGTTCCTAGGCTGCTCCTTCCGAATGTGACTGACAACACTTGGGGAAAGCACAAAGTCTGGGAACATGTTTCTTTCTAAGAGGATGGCAGACACTCCCCRTCTCCCCAGAGATGCAAACTGACATTTAAGAGTGAGCAAGAGAGGAACAGTGTGACAGACAAGATCAGGGGGGGTTTGGAGAGCAAGTAAGATCACCAGCAGAGACTGAGCCAATGGAGGGCTGCAGAGCTGCAATCCACCCAGGAGGCAGGAAAAATGAGGGCTCTGCAGGGAGAAGGGCTGGTCCTGTGTGAGTTTGTTGTGCTGCAGGATTAAAAACACTAGAAGAGAGCAGAAACAAGGGCATTACCTGCATCTCWGCAATGTAACACTGTAAGCACTCACCTGACAGCGAGGCAGCCCGGGAGCCAGAATGCAGCAGGAGATATGGGATAGACACTGAGGTTACTGCAGCAGGCAGGGCCACAGAGAGGGACAAGAGAGATCCATGGGACCTACAAGCAGACAGCTAGAGGAGGAGGAGGAGGAGGAGGATCAGATACACCGAGTCCAGGTTGCCAAGACTTGAGACAGAGCAGGGCCAGATCTCCAGGAAGACCAAGTCCAAGGACTGTAGCAGCTCTAAGCCCAGGAAGAAGGGGATAAAGGGCAAGTGAAACATCAGACTGAAAGCAGCAGCCAATGGCATGAGCAGCCCCTACAGAGCCCCATGCAGGTCATCAGCCACTCAATGAGCTGCTTCTATCTGTTCCTTTGGTGTGACCCACACAAGGACTGGAATTAGAAACCAACAGAGGGAGCCAGGCCATCACTGATGCCAGCCCGAGGCCCAGCACCCTTAGTTCAGCCAACACCTTCTCAGGCTAGTATTTCCATCCCCCTGCCTGCAGGGCATTCCTTTAATCAAGCTGAGCTTTAATAAAGGCAGTGCTGCTGGCTAATGGGAAAAGACCATGCTCCTAGCCCGAGGGAAAGGTTCTCCTGGCATTGCACTGGCTAATCCCCGGATCTGTTGGCCAATTTCAGTTGTATTTAACCTCAGGTGATAGAAAGCTCCTAAGATGTCATGGAAATAAGTGGCTGAGGGAGAACAGGGCCTTAAACCTCAACTGTCACGAAAGACAAGACTGCAAAGTCAGCTAGGATGTGCTCTTGGAGATGAAACAACCAACAAGCAAGTGACCATGAGAACTTGAGCAAGAACTCCTATCTCCCCAGATATCAGATAATTCACACCCATGGCAATGAAGACATAGGAAACTAAACCTCTTAAGGTGTGCTATCTGCACGATTGCATTTTCCCCTTAGCAAGGCACCAGCAGAAGTGATGGACGTGAAAGTGAGGAGTACCAGCCCACAGAGTCCTGCAGTGTGTCTGCAATGCAACCTGCAACAGCCACCAAGAGAACTCCTCTGTCCTGCCTAGAGATGTCCTCCAGCAGGCTCAGAGGACACAGCAATTTAATAACACCACTTTAGCTCCTCAGCCCAGCCCTGTACACTGACACACCACTTCTGTCAGACCAGAAGCACACTAAAATACACCAGGGAATACAGAGCTTTCCCTTCATTTTTTTTCYKTATTTCCCTATGCCTAACTATTTCCTGCTCCTCCCAAAACAAGATCTGAAGGCAAGTAGGAGTGCTGTCAGCACAAARTCTCCTGGAGAAGAAAGGAAGTGATGAGATTTGCAGGATGGCATGTGCTACCAAGTAATTTCTCGCTCAGCTCTGSCAATGACACTCATCTTCCTTTACCATCAGGAGCCAAAAGAAAAGKGAAACAGAAGCAGCAGCAAATTTGTGAATTCCTACCTGGTTTCATAGTTGTATTAAAAAATCATATAAAATGTAGACAGGTCCACTACATCATTTAATGACTTTCCTATTAAAAACCAAACCCCCAACCCTCTTTTGAAACTTAGATATCCTCCCATCTAGAAAAATCTCTAAGGAGAACACAATATTTTACTAACAATTTATTAATAAATCATTCACTTTTCAGAAAGAGCGCTCAAGAAATTCACAGCAGATCCACCAATTTAAGTAAAAGGCCTGTTAAAAATGCATTCCTAGGAAACAGAATAAGGCCTTCAAGGAGAATGCCAAAGAGCTCTGTCAATAAATGAAACAGCACTCTGCATTCTAATCCTCATGTGGATCCCTACCTTWGAGCATTTCTCCAGCACCTCCTCCTTGAACTGCAGGAACTTCTCCTGGATGGCAGGCTGGTTGAGAGCGAAGGACAGGAAGTGTGTGAAGGGCTGCTTCTTGCGGAAGCTSTCCAGGAGCACATCGATCCGCGTCCGGGCAGAGATGACCCCGCTCCGCTGCTGCCCTGTGATCACTGCAGGGAAATACAGCAACACCTGTTTGCTTTTCTGAAGCTCTCTGCTTTTAGTCCCAGGCTCCTGAGGAAGCAGTAGGAAWCAAAACTCCAAACCACACACTGCAAAACCTGCCAGACTCCCTGCTTGACTTATAATTCCTGACACATTTGCTTTCCTCTGCAAATACAGAATGATGCCATCAAAAGCATCCCTCTGCTGTCCAGACAATCAGCTCTGAAGACCTAAAAAACAGTAACTGAGAGTCCATCACCTCAGTGGTCCTTMAGATTTCCAGAGCATTATTTCAAGTTTTCATGTGGGCAGTAAGAGTAAAAAAGCCAAGGAAATCTATCAAGGATCAAGATGATCCGTGTCATTTGCGCAGGCACTTCAAGGCACCAAACAGAGAACACTTGAGCTTGAAAGGAAAGAACAGCAAGGAGCAAAATTTTCTTGGCTTCCTATTATTACATGTTTTCAACATCTCTCAACCTTCCTAATAGTCCTTCACAGCTCTCGGGAAGAAGTCAAGACCCACTCCTTGAGAAGTACCACCATGTTCCTGTGCAGCATCACAGTGGGATGCTCCCAGCACTTCCTTCTCACAGCTCTGTCACAAACACCACTGCACGCCGTGCCAGTAATCTCTGGAGCATGTCCTAAGGAACCCTCCACATACCCACTCTGGCAGAACCCACATGATGAGCAAGGCCTCCTTTCTTTTTAAGTTCCTGGAAGTGACGAGAGGGAACATATGGTACAAGAAGGCCTGCTCTCGCAGTAGGGATCTAGTGACAGCACCAGAAAGTCAGGAATGTCATCTWAACACTTCTCATATTAAAGCACATGATGATGTTTATTTCATACACAGATAAACAARGTATTTCTCTGAACGCTTTTTTCAGTTTCTTGTTGACGGAATACTATTTTAAAAGCAAAACAAAACAACACATTCAGGACCCAAGTTCTCAAGCCAGTCATTTAAGGCCCAGAAGCGACTTTTCAAAAAAATAAACTGGCACTGCTTTATAAGGATTCATAGGCAATAAAAATAAACTCAGAAGMAAAGTGATTTTCCCAGGGCTAAAAAGTGAGTCAGTGCCGTGTCAGAAGTAGGAATTAAAGGAAAAACAGCTCCTGTACACCCTCCCTGTTTAAATTGTGCTTGTGCAAGAGCAGATAAAAACACATTCATTTTAAATGTGTTCTACTCACCGATTTCTCCTTCCACTCCAGGCTTGGGAATGATGATGGAAGTTCGAGTCTCTGTTTCTAGCCTCTTCTTGGTTTCCCCTTTCTTCCCAATGATGTACCTGGGAGGCATTAAGTGCAAGACACTCGCTCACACAGGGACACTGAGCCACTCTCCATCACACATGTCCAAACCTGGACCCTCTGTGCTGAAGGAATACACCCACACCGTTCCATGTGCAGGACCACATGCAGGCACAGAGGTGACTCCTGGGACTCCACACATGTCCAGCTGTGGGACAATATTGAGCTGTAGCTCATGACTAGCTTAAGTTAAAATAAGTCAGCTGGTCCATGACAGCTCTGCCCAGCACATCCTGCCACAGCTTATTCATCAGCTGGGTTATCTCTCTTTCTCATTATCCCAGCCGAGGACGAACTAAGGTCACTTTTGCTGCTTTGTGCTTTACTCAAGGTAGTCATTTGCCAGTATCCAAATGTGCAAAGGACCACTTTTCCTTCTCTATATTTCAGCAAAACTATTCAACTAATAAAACTGTCAAAAATAACTAGCTAGACCTTTGAACACTACAGGTTTCCCAGTAAAGGGATTGGAGTCAATAGCCAATTCCAGTCATGTGTGTGCTTTCTCTGAAAGCTTTCACAAACACCCCCTGCCAGGCTGCGCACTCCASTTCTTCCTCCCCTTCCTTCTCCCACCCTCCCTGATGCTTTTATGTTCAAGGGAAGAGATGCTCAAAGACTCTCCTGCCAGCCAGCAAGCACCACCTGCTGTCCCTGTCACAGGGACGGCGAGGAGTCAAGCGAGGCCCAACTGCACTAGAAAGGCATTGCCAATTTTCCCTTCCCGAATGCTCAAACCCAGAGCATGGAACACATTACAGAGATCCGGCCCTCACCCCAACCTCAAAAAATAAATATTCTGTGCTCAACTTCTTCCCCAGCTGGCGGTGAATCAAACAAACCAAGGCACACAGGCTCACTTGTATARGGGGCTGGGAACCTCCACCCGGCACTGGAAGCCTCGCTCAGTCTCCTCCACCACAAAGGCATCGCAGGGCTCATCCGCGCAGTCACCGGGGCCTACCAGGAAAACCACATCAGACCCTGCACAACCTCTGCCAAGCTTGCCAGCGTTTTATGTAGGACAACAGTCTCCTCCCAGCCTTCTCCCAAGGTTAAATGAAGGAAGGAACGGGCTCCTCTCTGCTGTGGATAACTGCTTTTTATTTATCACCTTACTACCAGCTCTGGAACACGTAATGACTGCTTCTAAATCCGGCTGGCTGGGAGGCACAGGAAACAGGTAGTTAGAGCCCAGGTTTTTTCTCAGCTGGWGTTTGTGCAATTCCCAACACAGTGGGAATGGTCTCTTTTGGCAGCCAGTTTAGAAATTTAAGGTCACAGAAGAACACAGATTAAGGCGAGGATGGATTTTGGTCCAAGGGTGATTTRGAAACAGCCTCAGGGGAACAGATGCACCTTCCATCCATTCACTCGCCCAGATCAGACAGAACATCCAGAAGGAAGCCATGCTTCCTATCTCCTTTTCAACACAAACAGGGATGAATTTGGATGGAAAGCACCTCGTCAAAGCTTTGTGCAACCCACTGAAAGGCAAGGTGGTAGGAGAAACAGGACACAACTGTCACAACCCTCCCCATTTGCAAAGTAACACTCAAGCTTCCTGGTCCCACAACAGACAATACAGGCAGAAGGAAAAAGTAAAATACACCAGGACAGGAAGAATTTTGTTAAGAAGTAACACCTTCCAAAAGCTGCACAGTAGGAGGCCAGTTTTTAAAGGCATGAGCAAGGACAGAGGGTCTTTAGCAAGCTTCAACTGCTGCCATATCTGCAGATAATCACARTACAGAAAAGAAAGACACTTCAGGAATGCATGAGAAACAGATCTACAGAGCTAATTTGGTTTTCCCTTTCCCTGGAGATCTTCCACAGCCAGCAAGCAAACTGAACAGTCAGCAGCACAGTAAGCCAGCCCACTCAGGATAACTGGGATTGCTTCCACTCCGGGCAGCAGGATCATCAGGATCATCAGGACCAACACAAAAGTCTTTTTTTCCTCCCTGAACACCTCAATCCGCCACAYGGGCAGGTCTCTGGGCTCATGAAGATACCAGAGATGACACTGAGAGATCCCTAGGTCCCCAGTGTTGATGTTTTCACCTCCTGAGCATCACTCCTTACCTGCATAGAAGTCCTCCTCCTCCTCGTGTGGGAAGGCCTGCTCTTGGATGAGATTTTTCCGGTACACTCGCCCCCCAATCCTTATCAGGGGAGGCCGCAGCACRTCCATCCTGCTCCTCCTCCTACTGCAACAACAGACAGCTTTGCTAACACAAGGAAAAGCACATTTTGCTGTTCCCTTGTGGATTGGGTTAGAAGGGACCTTAATGCTCATCTTTGTCCCCCCCCCATTATGGACAGGGACACCTCCCACTATCCCAAGTGGCTCCAAGCCCCCTCCATCCTGGCCTTGGGCACTGCCAGGGATCCAGGGGCAGACACAGCTTCTCTGGACACCCTGTGCCAGGGCCTGCCCACCCAAACAGGGAACAATTCCTGCCCAATATCCAAACCAAACCTCCCCTCGAGCTAAAAGCTCCTCCATAGAGAGTCTTCAGAAAGGCAACACCTCCTCAAACCTTACGTGTCTCAATCAAAAAGTCATTTTATGAGAACTTGCAAGTACACTTTTTGTCAGCTCATAAARCATAATCAAGAGAAAACAGGAAATTAAGCAATGCAAGACACGTAACTCTCTAAACCTCACAGGTTTCAGCTAAAACTCACTGCGGCCTCAATGTGACATTTTGCAATTTCTTTGGGCTTTAGTTGGTACTTGAAGTTTTTACAGTGAAAAACACTTATGCTTTTAAAACAAATCTCTTACTCTGAAAAATATAGTTTCCTCCAAAAAAAATCACCTTTGTCAGAAGGTTTACCTGTSCACTGCAACAGAACAGGAAAAAATTAAGAGCTTGCCCTTAAGCAACTAGTATCTTAYACTAGATTTATTACACAGTGTGACATCAGGTTGAGAAGATTAATATTTTTTCGCTAAGTTCAAGCTCCACCTTCTGAAAAGACTCACAACCACCGAACTTACACTGAAAATAAAAAATAAAACCTTACACTTCAATAAAACTAGCAATTCCTGAAACTCAAGCGAAGAGTGCAGAGGTAAACTGTACACAAAATAAGCCACGAAAAATCAGTCGCTGAGTTTTTTGTTTCTTAGGCAGAGGTAAACTGTGCACAAAATACGCCACGAAAAATCAGTCGCTGAGTTTTTTGTTTCTACGCAGAGGTAAACTCTGCACAAAATAAGCCATGAAAAATCAGAGTTTTTTGTTTCTACGCAGACTTTTTTTTGGGAGGATTATGTTTTTAATATTGTTGGCGTCACAATTTCAGGACTTCTGAAAAAACAGCAGTAACACCGGGAGGCACAGCTGGGCAGGATCCAGAGGGGCTGTTGAGGGAAACAACTCCTGGCCACCCTGGGAGGACGGCAGGGGCACCGGCAGGGCCCGCACCGCGCAAATTCCTGAGGCGCCAAGGGTAGTGAAGCAACAGAATCGCTCAGCTTTGCGTTCACACCCCTGCACAAAGGCGGCGGGAGCAACAAAACACCCGCAACCCCTCCGCCACCGCCGCCGCCATTTTGTTCCTACTCACCCCCGCCCCGCTCCCCTCACTCGTCCCGCCGGAAGTGGCGCGCGCCCGCCCCATCGTGCACCGCGAGAGCGGCCACGCGCGCCGCCCGCGAGGAGCCGCCGTCCGGGCGCCCGGGTGAAGAGAGGGCTCGGGACGGGAGCGGGGAGCGGCGGGAGGCGGCGGCGGCGGCGGCCCGCAAGGTGAAGGGCAACGGGACGAGCGAGCGGGGAGGGCGGGGGCTGAGGCGGCGCGTGGGCTCCGCAGTCAGCGGGAAACGGCTCGGAGGGGCCATGGGCGGGAGGGAGGGGGACGAGGTGTGGTCAGTGTGTGGGCGCGGCCATGAGCGCTCGAGGGGCGTGGTCTGCTGAGGGAACGGGAATCGCCAAGGGGGCGTGGTTTGCCGAGGGGGCGTGGTCTGCTGAGGGGTCGGGGCTATAGAAGGGGCGTGGTCTGCGGGGGGGCGTGGACTACCGAGGGGGCGTGTCTTGCTGAGGGGGCGGGGTCTGCTGAGGGGGCGGAGCGCGGGCAGTGGGGCTCTCCCCCCCCCCGCCAAGATGGCGGTTCCTGCGGTGCCTGAGGCGTTGGCTGGAGGTTCCTCTAACAGGCCCAGGCATCGCCCTGACCTGCCGCCTCCTCTCCTCCGTGTTTGTTTAAAATAAGCCCCCTGCAGCCACGCTTAGGAATCGGTCGGATATGCGAGCCCCGCCTGGCATGGTTTCAGCGCAAACCGTCGTCGCACCTCCCTTGCGAGTGGGGAGCTGAGCTGGGGGTTGGCTGAGGGAGGTGTTGCTGGGTGTAGCATAGCGAAAACAAAAGTTTGCCTTATGCAGGCGTTTTTCTTCGCGGCCCATAAGCCCCCAGCCTCCTGTGAGCTTCTGTGTTACAGTTAATGAAACAACCTTGAGCACTCTTGGAAAAACTTACTTTCGAGGGATAGAGTAACAGGACAAAGGGAATGACACAGGGTAGGGTTAGATGGGATAATCCCTGTGAGCCCCTGGCACAGATTTTCCAGAGAAACTGTGGCTCTCTCATCCCTTTAAGTGTCCAAGGCCAGGTTGGACAGGGCTTTGTAGCAAACTGGGATAGTGGAACGTGTCCCTGCCCATGGCAGGGGGTGGAATGAGATGAGCTAATTTGAGGTCTTTTAACGCCATTCTCTCCACAGAATCCTCAAGCACTCTCTAAGGGCACTGTGTACCCTGCAGAGCCTGCAGAAGTATACTAAATGTGATAACAGAACTGAGTGAAATGAGCAGGATAATTGGGAAATGCTTATAAGTATTGGGAGGAGCAGCAAGTGCTGYCACTGATAAGTGGCAAGTGACACCTTTTTTACTATCAGAGAGGTACATGAYGAGTTTTAAGTCCTGTGACAAAACATGTACCTCTTAAAAACAAAGCTGAGGACAGGGCATGCAGGAGGGGCTGGTACTGTACAGGCAGATGGATCCTCGGGCATTGCCACTTTAGGTCAGATACGGTGTTTTAGAGGCAAAAGTACATCTGGAGTGATGCAGAAAGCAGCTGCTGTGAGTTAGGCGCGGCGTGGCTCCACGCAGGATGCGGCGCTGGAACTGGCAGTCCCACAGCCTTCCAGGCTTTATGAGGCGGCAGGATTTCTGTGTTTGTGCTCCTGGAAACAAGGCAAAAAAAGGAAAGAAACCCCGCCTTTTTCTGCCCCTGGGGAGCGGGACGAGCCCCACAGCAGTTAAAGGCCAGTGAATTCAGGCCAGCAACCTGTACCTCGTTATTTCTGTGCATGCTCTGGATGAATTCCCAGGGGAATCCCGAGGGGTCGGAGCAGGGGTTACCTTCAGTTTTGGGGTGTGACAGCTCTGTGCCCATCCCCACAGTGGGCGCAGGCAGCTCTCCCACACACTCAGAGCAGCCAGGATGCTCTGAGGCAGCAGAGGTGGCTTCTTCCTGCCCCTCACTGCCTTCATCCATCCTTAGAGACGTATGGCCACTGGCTCTGTGCCCTGGGGAACTCGCAGACACCCTTCCTAACTGAGGCTGTGCTCTTTGTCCTCCCAGGCTGAGCCGGGGTGCAATGGCAGCCTCCTCCTCGTCCTCCTCAGCCGGCGGAGTCAGCGGCAGCTCCGTCACAGGGTCGGGGTTCAGCGTTTCGGACCTGGCACCGCCCCGGAAAGCCCTCTTCACTTATCCCAAAGGAGCTGGRGAGATGCTGGAAGGTGATTGCTCCTGCCCTTCTCCTTCCCTGTTCCTCCTCTGAGTTGCTGACCTTGGCACYCCTCTGGCAAAAGCTGGAGGTAGAAAGGAAGCACCAGGGCTCGGTTGGTCCCTGCTTTCCCACCAGCTGTTCATGAGGAAATCATTTTTCTGGCAAGTCACCAGCTTTTTAGCTCCATGACAACACTTCAGGAAGCGTCTACCTGAAAGGGAACATCATTGTTAGCTAATCCTTTGATGTCAAGCAGGGATTAMTGTGAAGATAGCTGAGACAGGAATATTTTTCTTGTCAGAAGCAGTGATTTTCTTGGTTTGGGTTGGATTTGAGTGGGTTAATCCAAGAGGCAGCTTGTCTCCCTGCCAGTTTGCATCTGGGTGCCCGAGCCCCATCGCCAGCTTCATCAAGGGATTGAGGAAGGAGAAGCCAGGCACAGCTCTGCTGAGAGAGGAAGGGCAGGTCCTCYGGGTGACAGGGTTAAACCAGGGTCTGTCTGTCTGTCTGTCTGCTCTCCTTGAACTTCCCTTGTCACCATGGCTCAGCCCTGCATCCGTTGGGATCAAGGGACCGAGGCTGGAGTGTCCCTCTGGCAGCACAGGGCAGCTGGGAAGTGATGGCTGCGCCGCTGAAGGGCTGTTTTTATTACACATTAGAGCCCATATGCCAGGCTATTGAAGTAATTATGACTAAAGGTTTGCTCACAGAACTTAATGAGCCCTCAAAACAAATTAAAGTAATGAAGCACTTCATGTTACCAAATAGACAGGCAGCTGTTCCTCCTGAGAGGCACTCAGCAGGACAGACRGGGAGTTGGAGGACAGAGTCCAACATTTAGGTTGGAAAAGGCCTCTAAGACCATTGAGTTCAACCKCTGACTGATCCCCACTWKTCACCCAGCCCAGARCACCRAGTGTCATGTCYRGTTGTTCTTMAACACTTTCARGGATGGCARCTCCACCACCTGCCTGGGCASCCCCTTCCAATATTTTAACAAACCTTTCTGTGAAAAAATTCTTCCTGATGTCTCCAGGATATATTTGGGACAGCACTTGTGAGAGGAAGCTCTGAGCACAATGAAATTCCAGCTCTTCCCTGGGGTTCAGCTTTGGATTAGATTTTTACAGAGTCCCATCTTTGAAACYGCTCTCCACATTGTTATGGCACAAGAGCTTTAAATGGATTGTGCTTTGGGCTGACCTCTTTAGCAGGAACACAGCAGGTCACCTGCTCTGGGTGGCAGCAGCAACCAAACACTGTCCCTGTTGCAGGAAGCTCTAGGCTGGCTTTTTAATTTCTGACACAAAAGGTGATACACCCATTCTTTCATCAGGCAGGCACCAGTGGAAGAGCTGCAGTTTCCTTTCCAGAAATCCCCCCGACTGACTAATTTTTGTTTCTACTTAACTATCTTGCTTGTTTCTAAATAAACCCGTAGGTATTTTGGGGTTTTTCAGAAGGAAGCAGTATAAACTATGTCAGTGCTTGGCACACAATTAGCTATGTTTTCCAGATTGCTTTGTTTCTGAGTCACTAGTGTGATCAATTACTGACTTGGATGGCAAGATACACATTGTTTGAAATTCTTTATGTAGGGTTATGGTTTGAGCCCGTGGGAAATCCTAAAGCATTCTAAGGACACACGCGTCTGAGCCCTGAGGGAATCACAGACTGYCATAACATTACCTGGCTTCTCCTGAGCTTACCTTCTATTTAAATAGGACTACAATTGCTTGTCAGAGGGGATGTAACAGAATTCGAGCCAGGATGTCTTCCCAGGTAGCACCAGGAGGCAGCCAAAGCCCTGTGCAGGGTCCCAGGGGCTGTGCTCAGCACAGAGGAAAGGGTCAGAATGAGGCAAGGGGGAACCCACACCTCAAAAATAAAAACACGAGGTCAGTGGTACTGAAGGCTGCTCTGCCTTAAACCGTGTGATTCAAACACCTCCTGTTTGTRTTTACAGATGGCTCTGAGAGGTTCCTCTGCGAGTCTGTGTTCAGCTTTCAGGTTGCATCAACATTAAAGCAAGTGAAGCACGGTAAGCTCGGAGCGCCGGCCGCGCGTCGCTCGGGGAGGGCGGCGGGGGCAGAGCCTGACCTGCTCTTGCTGCCAACCACAAGAAAGCAGAGCCAACGCTAAGTCAGGCCACCACTTTTGCAAGCCCTRTGCAAAGCGCCGCGAGCCCACAGAGGCTGCGTGGGAACGAGCTGTGCCTCCTGAAGCTTGTTTTTCCATGGCTGTGTGGCAGCRTGAGGTGAGGCTGCAGGAGGAGGTTCTGGGCAGGAAACGCCCACGCTCTGATCTCGGCCCAGCGCTGACTGTCTCTCTGGCCTGGGGCAAAGGGACGCTCCATTCCACCTTTGTTTCTTGCTGAGCCCTTGTGGCTCTGGCAGGGTCAAGTGAGGTTTCCAAAGGCTCAGGAGGCGGCCACGCGTGGCRTGGCGTGGCGTGGCGTGGCGTGACAGGGCTGACTCCATTCCCTGCCTCCCCAGGGAGCAGCCCTGTGTCCTGTTTGAACCTCTGCTTCCCTCCCAGGCCCTTTGCCCTCACCCAGGTGCCTGTCATCCAGTGGTGGGCTTGGCTGCATGACAGCTTTGGTTCTCACAGAGCCTAGCAGCAAATCCTGTCTGCTGCTTGAGGATCACATCCTTTCTGGTTCTGGCCTCTCGTCAGCCAGAATGGTACTTCCACCTGTTGTCTCAGACTGGAGAGGTTTCCTGTCCTTCTCCGATTGTCTGGGGGCATGCAGCAGCTTGCAAGGCTGCAATCCTGTATTTCTGCCCCAGAAAGCAAAGCTGAACTTCAGAGCCATTGTTTCCACAGCTCTGCYGTGGCTGTAGCTACCAGGGGCTGCTACATAGCCTGGCACCCCAACCAGCCTTTGGAACTGGTTTGTGGAGCACCTGCCTGTTTTCTCCCTGTAAGAAAGGTGAAGGGCTAAAAAAAAAAAACCAAAAGATCGAGGTCATCATTTTTTGGCTTGTTTGTTTGACARTTCCCAAAAAGGGTGCAGAAGGTGGAGTGAGAACAGTCCCTCTTAAAAGTACCTACTGCTGCAGTCAGCATAAATCACACAGTTCATGTTATGCCTCTTGCTAGTCCTGGGCTGCCTCTCCAAGAGGCTGCAGTGAGCTTACAGCACTGCTGGACTTCCAGCAGAGCTGGGAGAAGGAATATTCCCACCTCTTCATTGCTGCAGCTCATTGAACTGAAAATGGACCGTGTGTAGCCATCACACAACTGGTTATAAACAAACCCAAGAGGAAGATGTTGTGTGGGGGATCCCCAGGACCTTCCTCTCATTAGCAGGCTCTGGCTGCAGAGCCTTTTTGCCACACTCCTGCAAGGACCTTCATTAAAAGCACAGTTCCTCATGCTGCACCCAGCTCTACTGTGGGCTGACCAARCCCTCTTTGAACTTCTCTGTTCTTCTGCACTATAAATATTTATGCTAAAGAAATGAGCTTTATCCTGTTTTCACCCCYGTGTACTAATGGGCCTCGTGTTTCCCTGTTAGGACTTGAATGTACACAGCACGGGCAGGGGTGGGTAAACATGCACGAGGGAAGAAAAGCCTGTCCCTGCTCTCTCCTTGCTGTTTGCACTGAGTGGTTTGGATTCAAATGGGCTCTGTGGGTTTTGTTCTGCCCTGCTCCCCACTGACAGCTGGGAATTTGCATCTAATTGAAAGGTTTAATTGCATTGCCATYGCAAACCAGTTACCTTTGAACTCCTCGCAGATCAACAAGTCGCAAGGATGGAAAAACTTGCCAGTCTGGTGGAAGAGCTGGAGGCAGATGAGTGGAGGTACAAGCCAATAGAGCAGCTCCTGGGATTCACTCCCTCTTCGGGCTGAGCGTGTCTGGATTGCTTCTGTCAGGGAGCAGAAGAAAAACATTCCCTGGCCTGGCTTCAAAACACCCCCCATTTATCAGATGCTGACAGCTGCATCGGCAGGATGGGGCTTTGGGTTTTTTTGAGAGYGGGGATCGCCCATAAAGTTGCCAATGAAAAGAAATGACGAGATTCTGTAGGTCCTTACAGGCTGGCAGGGCTTGGTTTCTGTAACTTAGAAGGCAGGATCAGCTGTGCAGCCCTCGGAGAATCTCTGTATTTACAGAGGAGGGCAGGMGGACAGTGTGGCTGAGGGGAGGGTGACCTGGTAACTCAGCCTGGGCTCCTGCTGGAGCGTGGCTGGAGCCCTGGGCCTGCAGGGAAACCCTCTGGAGCAAATGCCAGGAACACTCCTCAGCCCCAGCCATCATCTGGGAGATGGGCATGAACTGTCCTGAGGTCAGGTGAGGGGCCAGGGGGTGTCACCTCCTCGGGTATAGCTCACGCCGCTCCCTCTCCATTGCCATTTCTCTGGCAGAACACTGCTCCATCTTTAATACCCCGAAACTTTATCCTCTTTGTTCTGTAATGGATTTCTCTATGACAATAAAATAATTCTGTCTTTGAAACTCTTTATCTGGTCTGGTGAAGGAAACAATCAGCTGTTTGGGATGGTGAAGCTTAGACACAGCTCAGCTGTCACAGTGRTAGACTGAAGTTCAATGTGAGAGGAACCAAACCATGCTCAAAAGTGGCTTCATTTAAATCAGATTTTAATCCTGRTTTAACTCTGCCAGAAGAGAAGATCCTGGTTTAAATCCAACCATTTTAATCATCTTGTTTTTCGGCTGTACTTCACTTCTGTTCTTGGAGGGAACTGGATTTCCACGTTCTGGCGTAACCATTTCAACATGTTGATTTTCCACGGATGAGAGCCTTTGCCCCACAGCTCTGCTGGCCAGCAGGGGGTAGGAGCAGCACCGTATGCAAGCAATTACTTGATTTACTGCTCCAGATGCTTAATTTTTCCATTTTCAACATCTTATTTATGAGATTATTGTATTTTTACTCACTATTTCAGCCCAGGCACATCTGGATTGAAACAGATTAACTGGAATCCATTCCCATTTTAGATCACCAGCAATTAACTAAAACTAAGGGGGGAAAGTATACAGCCACCTTTTATGTTTGTTGCTGTTAATAAATTAGTTCCAGTAGCAGATAACCCAGCTTTGGGCAGTCTAGAGCCCCACACTGCCCGGTCTGCAGGAGAAGCCTCAATTCCAGCTCTGTGGAAATGACCCAGAGCAGCGCAGGGGTGTTCTCACGTACGGCTGCGGCTCAGCCGAGATGTGTCCCACGCTGGCCGCCCCGGCCCCGGCCCCGGCCCCAGCCCGGAAAGCCTCCTCCCCAGCCTTGGAGGGCTGCCAGGCCCGGCTCTGCGGGGGCCTCCTGCACAGTCAGCGGCTCCGTGGCCAGGAGCGCTCCAAACGTGAYGGGATTCAAGCTCCATCCCAGATGGGCTCGCTTGGGAAAGAGGGGAGCATTTCCACTTTGTTGTTTGTTTGGTGGCATCTATTTTTAATCTCACTCCAGCCAAACCTGCCAGAAATGCTCCCCCTGTATCATTGTGGGGTTTGGAAAAGGAGCAGCAGATCCCCAAACTCCCTCGCTCACAGCTGGTCCCCCCTACTTGCTGACCCAGCACAACTGGACACAGAAAGAGCTTTTCCTTTTCACTGCTCCACTTGGGAAACTTTTCCACCCTGCCAGCTCTCCTGGGATGCCAGGGGCTCAGCTCCTGCAGCTTTGCCCACTGGATGCAGTGCCAAAGCATTGCCCAGCCCTCCCTGCCCAGATCCAAAACACTGGGGCTGAGATTTATCCCCCTCACCCTCCTCCCGTTCCTTGTTTTCCAGCAGTTTCTTGTGCTGGGACAGAACAGGAGCAGRGAACGTCCCAGCTCCGTGCTGTACATGGTGTGTTTGTATGTGTGCCCAGCACCAAAATAGACACATGTGTGAGAGCCATTGAGAGGAAGTGAAAAGTTCACCCTGTACAGTACTACAAATGCAAAAACATGTTGTTGGCCGTTCCCTCCTCCCGCTTGGTAAACACTTTGTGTAAGGCAGGGAGAACTGGAGGGATCCGCATGGGCAAAAACCCTCCACACTCCCCCTCCTCCAAACCCAGCTTTTCCCTGGCAGCTGGAAATTCCCCAGCCAACCTATTTCCTRCTTTGCAGGTCAGTGGGGCGGTGGATATTGCCCTCCTTGGGGTTTGCAAGCCCCGTTGTTGCCCCCTCACCCCCGGGGTCTCCGGGGCCTTTTGGAGGCTGCAGCTGGGCACGGAGCGCAGGGGGGAGGGAGCCCGGCAGCTGCCAGAAAAAGTTGATGCGGGGAGGGGAGGGAGAATAAAAAAAGAGCTGAACAAAGAGCCTCGTTCAGGGCTGCTGGTTGGTTTTCCTGTGGGTGCTCGCAGCAGAACGTTATGTACCGGCACAAGCCCCGCTCACACCTCCCCTCCCCGGCTCCTCTCGCCGCTGGCCACGGCCCCAGTGCCGGCCACAGCGCCAAGGCACGCACTCGCCTCGCAGCCCGGGCCTCTCCCAGCATCAAAGACATGGCAGTGCGGGGCAGCACCCCCAAAAACACCCTCTCCCATCTCCTCCCCCAAAAGCACTCAAGGGGAGAGGAGTTTCACAGCCCACACCCTGCGAACAACAGGGTGCAGACCCAGTGCTGAACCCCACACTCGGCTGCCAGAAGCTGCTTACCACCCTGCCGGCTGCACGTTCCTCATTGCTGTGCCCGGCTCCTGCAGCTGCTTGTCCCAGGGCTGAGAGATGGGCCCGCAAGGTTTGGCTGTAGCACAGACCTGCCCGGCCGGCAGCACGCCAGGACCTGCCACTGCGTCCCACGCAGCCAGAGCTCACCTGTCAGAGCCAGCCACAGGCTCAGGGAATGTAGGGTCACCCCTCGTGTCTCTGTCACCCCCTGACACAACCAGGGACCCACCCCAGCAGGCACTTAGGGCACACGGTAAAAGCTGTGGCCTCAGCCCCTCYGTCACTGGGACACAAAGGATCACASCAGCCTCTGTGCCAGCCCTGTGTGCTGAAATAATGTGTAAATCTACCTAAAAGCAGCTTGTAGGGCCACAGATCCACTGGGAAAAAAACATGAAGTCAGGGACTCCTCCACAGCAGCAGCCCATGGGGCAGGAACTTGCCCCCCATTGTACAGGGGGCACAATTTGCGGCACTCGCTGAGCCCCTCAGTACCTCTCCTCCCTTATCCTCCTCCTCCTCCTCCTCCTCCTCCTCCTCCTTCTTCCCAGCCCCCTCCCCCTGCAGCCTGCAAAACCGCTGAGCTCAGCACATCCCGGGCAGGGGCCCAACCAAGGACCCTCCCCAATGCCAGCCCTGGCTCCTGCTTAACCCTTTGCAAAGCCAGGCTGGAAAYCAGAAGGATCAAGCAAATCTCATCACAAAAGGGCACAGGCTGGGAACAGGCTGTCCAGAAAGCCAGAATGTCTCTCTGCTCTCCCAGAAAGGACAACAGGTCAGGGGGAAAGACATGCTGCTCGTCCACAAAAACCACACGGGGTTTGCTGCCAGCAGCAGGGCCAGGGGAGGGGGAAGTGCAGGAATTACCAACACCGTGGCTAAAACTTTACTTTGCAGCCAAAACCATTCCTAGAGGCCCTGCTGCAGAGGTGCAGCCTGGATTTCAGCTTCTTTTGGGGAGGAGAAGGAGCTGCCAGCCCCAYATTTCCTCCCCTCCCAGCTGGATTATTTTATTGCACGGATCAAAAATCACATTTCCCTTTAAAACATGCCATCACACCAGAGCCGCTTGCTCTGCTGCCTACCAGGAGATGTTAYGGCAAAGAAAGAAAAATATTTATGCTTGGCTCCAGAATTCCTGCTTATTTTTAGCGTGGTGGCTTTCCTGTGGTCCTTCACCTCTTTTTTGTTTATTTGCTGCTYTCCTCCTGTTTTGACCCCCCAAACCAGCAGATCCTCATCTATTTTCAGCCTCACCCAGCCAAYATTCATACCAACAACTTGGTGGCTGTGGGGAGAAATAATCCACGGGGTGCAGTTTGTGGAAAACAGGATCCCAAGCACCATCCAGCAAATACTGGGGTGTATTTTTAACAGCTGGGGCTGGGGGCTGTTCATTTTTTACCCCCAAAAAACAAGCTCTGAAAGCTGCAGCCACAAGCCAGGACTTGTAACCAGCTTCCCACATATCTCTGCTCCCTGGGATGCTCCCTCTCCCTCAGCTTGGACTTCCACACATAAAATGCTGATGGGTTCAAGCTTTGAACSCTGAAAAGCAGCTGCAGCTGCAGGTGGGGTGCCCAGAACCCTSTGCCTTTGGGTGGCAGGTCACAGCAGTGGGTGGCACTCTGTCCCCCTCGCTCTCTCCACCGTGTTTATCGCCGGGCTCTTATCAATCTCGGCTCGGGAAGGACAGGACCCAAGACAGATCGCGGGGTGACTTCAGAGTGTGCTCAGCCCCTCCGATAAAGCCGCAGGCAGCACAGCGGGAGGACAAACAAAGCTCGCTATCGCCAATTGGGCTCCTTGCGCTGCTCGGGGTCTGGCTTGGGAAAGGTCACGTACGCGGGGACAGGCACGGGTGCGGGAGACACGCTGGCACGGGGAAGGGCTCGGGGGTGTCCTGTCCCAGCTTTAGGAGATACCGGGGAAGGCAAAAGGGGATGACCCCAGCCTGACACTGGGCAAAACCCCATCCCAGCCTGGCTGCATCCTGCCACCGCCTCCCTCGATCTCCACCGAGTTTCACTCCAACATCCCTTACTGCCTCAAGAAACCGGGACAAAGCCAGCGAGTGGGACACCGGGATCACGCGTGGGGTCCCGGTTTGGTTTGTCCCCAGCGCAGGGSAGCGGGCTCAGCCCCATCCCACCCCATGCCAGGACGGCAGGGTCCGGTGCCTCCACACAAACACCCCCGGGACGACGAGGGGGATCAAACCCTAACSCACAGGAAAACCCTCACTGCTTTTCCAGCCCGGGAGGGTTCGGGGACTGCGGGGACACGGCGCCTGGCCCCTTCCCCACCAACGATGGGCAAGCCTCGGGGGTGCGGGGGCGAGCCCGGGCACTGAGGAGGCGCTGCCCGGGCCGGGAGGGGTCGGTGTCCGGGACAGCAGCCGGAGCACGGGCCGGGGGGGTCGGTGTCCGGGACAGCCGCCGGAGCACGGGCCGGGGGGGTCGGTGTCCGGGACAGCCGCCGGAGCACGGGCCGGGGGGGTCGGTGTCCGGGACAGCCGCCGGAGCACGGGCCGGGGGGGGGTTCGGTGTACGGGACAGCCGCCGGAGCACGGGCCGGGGCCGGGGCCGGTCCCTGATGCAACCGCGGGTCCCGTTTGCAGCGCCCGGGGCAGCGCCGGGCGAGMGGGGGCGTGGCCTCTGCGGGAGGGGCGTGGCCTGAGCGAGGGGGCGTGGCCTCCCCGCTGTCACCGGGCAGGAGAGACGCCGCGGACGTGCCCCGCGCTCCCATTGGCGGGCGCGGGGAGGGGGGCGTGGCCCCGCGTGCCGCCCCGGTTATAAGGGTGGGGCGCGGGCGGTACGGGCAGAGCGGCGGCGGAGCCGGGGTGAGCGCGTTTTGCCGTGTCCAGAGCCATGCCCGGGCTGTGGGAGAGGCTGGCGGGCGGCGAGCGGGGCCGCCTGGAGACCTCCGACTGCGAGTCGCTGGGCAGCGCCTCCGGCTCGGAGGGAGGTGAGTGCGGGTCCCTCTCTGGGGTCACAGACGGACTGGAGGATGGATGGTGGTCCCTGGGCGGAGGGGTGGTGGTGCCTTGCCGAGCCTCTGTTATCCCCCAAACCCCTACGATCGGTGTCTCCCAGAACCGTGAGACCCCTCAGCACACCCCTGTTATCCCCCAAACCCCTGCGATCGGTGTCTCCCACCCATGATAGCCCCGGTGCTGACCCGCCCGTGTCCCCTGTGCAGATGCCGAGTACGCCGAGGGTGTCTCCCTGCCGGACCTGGACCTGGAGCTGCTGCACGATCCCGAGGATGAGCTGCTGTGYGCCAGCCTGCTGGACGTGGTGCAGGCCACGCTGGGCCGGGCCCCGCTGGGCTCCAAGCGCTGCTCGCGGCTCCTGATGCCGGCCCAGCTGCAGGCGCAGGTGCGGACGGAGCTGCTGCGCCTGGCGTGCAGCGAACCCTGCGGGCTGCGCGGGGCCCTGCTCGACCTGTGCGTGGAGCACGGYAAAGCCTGCCACGACGTGGGGCACATCGCCGCCGACCCCGCCGTGGTGCCCACCTTCCAGCTCACGCTGGTGCTCCGCCTGGACTCCCGCCTCTGGCCCAAGATCCAGGGACTCTTCGGCTCGGGGCCGGCGTTCGCGCCGCTGAAGCTGAGCACGGGCTTCCGAGTGATCAAGAAGAAGCTGTACAGCTCCGAGCAGCTGCTCATCGAGGAGTGTTGAGGGCCCGGCGGAGGAGCCACTTCCCAAGCGCTTTGGAAGAAGCGGGCGGAGCGTGGCGGCTCCTGGCAGCCGCTGTAGTTTAGGTTAGGCTGGAGTAGGGCTGTAGGTGGAAGTAGTTCGGGCGGGCTGAGGTCCCCGTGGGGGCCCGTCTGTGCCGGGACATCCCTGGCGTGGAGCAGCCGGGACCCGGCTGGAGGTCGCTTCACGCCTTCCTTCAGTCGGTGACTGTGGCACCATCCCGGAGGCGGCAGCGGGGCTGCCGGAGCGGCGCTGGGCTCCTGACGGCCGATGGATCGCATCGGGGGGTTTTGTATCCAGGATTGTAATCAGTGGGGTCTCAGGGGGAGGGGGAGCGTGGGAGCGAATGACGGCCGAGGTGGSGTCTGCATCAAAGCCCAGCGCCGGCTCCCGGGCTCTGGAATCGTGTCTGGGATCACGGGAGGGTGTGATCACCCCGTGAGGGGCCGGAGGGCAGGACCCCCGGCCCCGACACGCTGGGGGCACTGCGTCGGTTCCAGTTTACACTCATACACTTGATGTTCAAGTGCGAGAATTCCTATGCAATCGTGTTCGGGTGGTTTTTTTACTTTTCTAATAAAATTTGTCTTGATTGATAAGCTGCCGTCTCCCTGTCCTCACTACGGTCCATTGGGGGGATGATGCAACCGCTGGGGTGAAATTCCCTGCCAGGCACCCTCGGGAAGCCTTTCCCTGGCAGGCAGCGGGTGGGAGCTGGATTTTTTGGGGAATGGTGGGGAATCCCAMTGCGCCCACTCCTAATGGGAGCCACGGGGCTGTGACTCAGGAGGGGGGGGCTGAGTCAGGCCCCTGAGCCGGGCAGGAGCACCCCAAAACCCCAGCGAGGGGCTGCTGCTCCTCCCCGGGCAGCCACGGGGCAAATTTGGGCAGAAAAGCAGGAGAACAGGCTGAAAGTGGGACTGTGGGAGAGGAGGAGGGTCACAGCTGCCGGGGGGAGCACACCTCAGACCCAAACGCACTCTGCAACACTGAGGCCAATTACCCAAACCTGCAATTAGAAGCCTCGGGGAAGAGGCTTTCACTCGAGGGTAATTAAGCTGCTTGGCAAACGAGGAGCCCRTGGAAGGTGTGGGTGGATAAAACCAGCCTGAAAAACCATTTCCATTCACATGCAAGTATGTTCTGGTTCAGCCTTAGGTTGTTCAAATTTATTTTTATWTTTTTTTTAATCCCCCCGTGRACAAAGAGTGACCTTTTGATGAGAATTTTCACCATAAAAACCTTGCTTTTGACACAAATGACCCATAGCTGGAGTATTGGGAGCAGAGTGTAAAATACAGCAACAAGCACAGCTGGAAATGCACCTTTACACACCCACATTGTGCAAAGAAGGGGGGTTTTCCATTAAAATTTTGGGGGCTGGAGCATTTCTTAAAGGGTGACGTGCCCTTCACGTGAGGGGCCATCCCCTGTGGGGTCACCCCGCACAAAAGAGATGCTGAGAGGGGTGGGAAGGGAACTCCAAGCCCGAAATTCCTCGGGCAGCCCAGGCTGGAAGCAGCACGGTGATCCCGGGGCACGGCAGGAGATTGCCGGTGACGGCAGCACCGCCGGCGGCTCAGCCCTGCTGAGGCACCTGAGTCTGCCCGCGGTATTTATAGCTCCACAAATACGTGGATTTTTAAATATCGAGCTCCTGACGGGGTGGCCCCGTGCCTCCTTTGCTGCCAGCAGCAGCGTGACCCCTGCGTGTCCCCCTCCAGCCGCTCCCAGGGAAGGCTCTGCATCCCATTTCTTAAAAATTATCACGCCAAGAAAATTTAAAAAAAAAACCATTAAAACTCTCAAAAACCTCTGTCCCGGGCAGGCCTGGCAAAAATGTCCACGTGGGACCACATGCCCTTGGAACAYCCCAGCTATGAAGGTGAAACTTGGCTTTTATTTATAGCAAAATGGCATTTCCATGAGAAATTTTTGGGGGGTCTCAAGGTCCCTGKGGTTTGGCAGCTCCCTGGAAGGGGCAGAAGCTTCCAGAGAGGCTGGATCAGGTGTCTCCCAGGGCAGGGGGGTAGGCAAAGGGATATTTTGGGACCTGGGAAGTGTCAGTGGGGCTATTTGTGGCACCACCATCAGCCCAGGGATCCCAGGTGCCAGCACAGGAAAGGGAGATCCTTGGAGGCATCAGCAGCAATATGGCAAAAGAGGATTTAAATCCCAGGATAACACAAAATCCTCATGTTTTGCTACCAAAAATGATGGTGGGGGGAAGAGGGATCCCTTGGCTTCCTACCTGCCACAGGAGGATGTTCCTGGAGCACTGGCCTTCCTTTGATGCCTCCCTGCCCCTGGCAGCTGCTCCAATTAAAAGCTTGGGCTAACGAGCTAATGGGCAGCCCAAAGCACCCACACCTTTGCTGAGGGGACAGGGACCAGCACACCCTGAAATTCAAGTGTGTCCCATTGCCCTGGGCTGGGAACAACCCAAAATACAGCAAAATCACCCCAAAACCTGCGCTCTGGATGTGCCCTGTGCCACCAGGGCTGACTCACTGCTACTGAGGGGAAATGGAAAGGACGTGACCCTCTGAGAGGAGAGGAAAAAAAGGGAAAAGTGGGAAATTCCCACCCAGAGCCTCCAGCACTCCCCACCGGCCTGGGGAGGAGGAGGGAGCTGCCAGAGGGGTCCAGCCTGCCCCAGGGAGGGGGATAGGAGGAAAAGAGACCCATCCCAAATCCAATCCGGAGGCTTTGGGGCCAGCAGATGGCATATCCCAGCAGGAAGCGCACCCAAGGCAGCGTTTCCGCTCGGGACAAAGGCAACCCCAGCCTTCCTGCCCACCCCGACAGGGATCGTGTCCAAAGGGCACCTTCAAATGCCAGGACACCTTCAAATGCCACTGCCACTGGACAGTGCTGCCAGGCTGCTGGCACCCTAGAATGGGAATAAGACATCCCCCAAAAAGCTCGGCCAGAGGATATGGGGCTAATGGGAGGAGGGGAAGGCCCTTCTGGGAACAGAGCAAAGGTGTCCTGTGGGTGTTTGCTGTCACCCTGCCAGGACCCACAGGGGCACCACCTCCTCTCCATCCTCTCCCYGTCCTTCCATCCCCCACATCCACTGGGGATGGCCCCCACATTCCAACCATCACTCTGGCTGTGSAACCAGAGCTGGCTGGAGCAGGGATCCCCAGGACACCAACCCAGCCGGAGCCTTTCACGTTATAAACATTTATTTATAGATGTACAATTGTATAATTAACTCTAAATCGAGAGATACAGCCTTTGTGAGCATCCTGGGGGACCGATGCCTTCTCCCTCCTTATGATCCGTGGGTATCTACCAGGAAAAAGATCCCAAAGGTTTTGGTGGGGCAGGCTCTGGGCAGGGAATGCCATTGGGCAACGTGTCCAGCTCCTTCTGCGAGCAGGATTTTGGTTTAACCCCGTCCCCATCATCCCTGTGCCTCTATCCAGAGCCATTTCCATTCCTGAACTTCCTTCTGAAGGTGGAAGAATCGTTAAAAGAAAAAGAATAAAACCCCTTAAAATCACATCCGAGCCACAATGGCTGGGGGATAACAGTGCTTGCAGCCAATGGGAGGCCGAGATTCCACAAAATAAATAAACAGCCGAAGACAGAGCGCGCGGATTCCTAAGGACAACGGGGTGAAACCACCTCTGCCAGCCCACCCAGGAGCCTGCTCCACTCCCCCGATGGTGCCAGGGAATGGTTTTCACTGGAAATGTCTTTAGACACGAATGAGCTGCAGACCAGCAAGAAAAAAAAAAAATTAAAATAATCCAGTTTATTCCGTGGGAGGTGCTCCACTTGTTCCAGCTTTGCTTCCAAGAGATGGCTCCCGACCTGGAGCGGGCCAGATCAGGCACCCCCCAACCTCTCCAGCAGAACTTCTTCCAACAGGAGCAATGGAAGGCTCCATTCCTGATGGATTTGTGGTCTTTGATGTCCTCCTGGAGGCAGGGGCCGGGCTGCACGCTGGGTGGGTGGGTGGGTGAGGACCCCGAGCACGGGGCACGCACAAAACCCCCCAACAAAGGGGGAGGCCGATGGAAAGCCCTCTCTCCACAGAGCCAGGCAGAATTCCGGCAGACTCGGCAGAAAAAGGAGTTACGTGCACAAATGAACCAAAGACTGATGAGCAAAATCCATCCAGGACAATCCTTCCTGTCCCGAGTGCGATGCTGGCACTCAGCTGACCCCACGGCTTCTGCCAATGCTGCAAATCCACAAAATAAATGTGGCTCCGGATGGGCTCTCCCCGTTCCCCTGCAGATTTGGGGTTTGGTTTAATCACCACCCCAAAAGCAGGTGTGGATGTCCTGATCTGCAGAAYGGCCTCCCAGGAGCAAAGCACAGCGATTGCAAAGTGATTCTCRTTTTCCAGGCTGCAGAGAGAGACACCCTGGGAAAAGGCTCCCCTGCTCCCCGAAACCAAAATAATTTAATCATCCAACCCCTGCATAGTTTAAAAGTACAACATATATACAGCTATAAATTAATGCTAAATAGATTATATTTTCTTTTCTCTTTCTTTAGTGTCTTCTTTTATCAACAAATCATCCCACTCCTCTCTCCATCGGCAGCAGCCAAGGGTCTCCCTTCTGCTTTGAGGCTTCTGCAGTTAGTCTGGGTTACTTTACACTCTGTGTGTCTGTTCCAGGGGTTGTGGGATCCTTGTGGGATCCAGCAGTGTTGGAAGGAAGACGGAGAGCTGGATTTCCTGTCCCAAGAACTGCCTGCCATTGTCAGAGAGAGGCAGAGAGAAGAAAGAGGGGCAGTTGTGCGTTGCTAATTCTCCAAATTCCATTTTTAAGATAAGGTTTGATTATTTTTAAACAGCAAAGTCTGTCACCTTGGCTCGGTGCACTTCCCTGAAAGTCTTCAGGCGTTTCAACCAGCCGGGAACAAAAGTGGCAGCAGTGTTGGTCTCCAGACAATCTGTGACTCCCCTTTCCTTCCCCACCCCAAACACAGGCAGCAGCTTTTCCAGGCTCCTTCCAGACCACAGGTGAGGGGGAGAATTAATGGAAAGCAGCTCTTTAACACCAGAAGAGGTGCAGTCATCCAAAGAAGAGCCCAAAAATGGATCCAAAACCAGGATACACCCCAAAAAAACCCGGAGGATTTGCTTTAAATCAGATCAAACTTTCRGATGCCCAGGAAAACAACCCCCAAAACTGCACAGTCAAGCAGCTCAGTGGCTGAGATCCTCAAKAAGTCCCTGTGAGCTGGAAGGGTGTCCATACAACACCTGGACCAAGCCTCACCCAGGAGTTATTCTATAGAAATCCTGTTTTGGGATAGTGGAACCTGCACATTTCACAGCCAGCCCAGCAGTACCTGGCAGGTGAAATCAGCCCAGAAATGTAAGCAGAAAAAGGACTCCAAAACCCTGTGGCAAACTTTTTCATAGTTTTGGTGCAGCTCTCCCAGCACATCCAGTCTCACACGCATTATCTGGGCTCTCCTTAATCCAACCAACCAAATCTTCCAGACCCCCCTTCAGCTGCTTTCACTTTGACTCCCAGTTTAACCCAGTAAGTGACTTCTACAACCTGCTGGGCACATTTGCTTTGTTCTCCTTGAATGGGAAGGCAACAGGAAGGAGGGGGGTGGGACAGCACAAGGAACATCTGTTGGGTGGGACTCGGTTCCCTGTCATCGTGTCGCCTCACGTGCCAGGGACAACAGCTTTTCCAGTAAAACAGGCAATAAAGCAACCAAAAAAAAAGGGTCTGTTAAAATGCATGGCCGGATGCCACGGCCAGTGAGAAACTTCCAACCTCCCCGAAGGATTCTGCCCCGTACCTAGAGGCCAGAGAGAGCCCAGAGAGAGCCGAGGGTGCCGACATGCAAACTAAACCCAATCAATTCCTGGTTGACGAGGGAGCGCTCGGAGGGGAGGCCAGCGTGTGCGCCCCAAGGAGACTCGCGCAGGTCTGCGTCTCAATCGGGGTTTCAGTGAGAAAAGCGCTACGGTTCCCTGCTCCCTGCTCCTGCCTGGGCAGGGCTATGCRTGCAGGGAGGCCTGGACGTCTGACAGTCTGCTGCAGCTGGGGGTGCCCATCCTCTGCGCCCGCTGGTACAGCTCCGAGTCCCCGAAGTAGCGTGCCCGGTACAACAAGCCTTCCTCTGCGAAGGGAAAAGCCCAGYGTTAGCCAAGGGAAAAGCCCCACGGGCTCTGCTGCCCATGGGAGGCACCTCCAGCTGCCCAAGGTGAAACACAGGATGAGGCCGAGGCTGAGGAAATGCCCCGCGCCCTTCGRGACAGGATGGGCGGAGGAGCTGCTGACAGCTCATCCATCCCGGGAAAAGCCAAGGGAACCTGTCTGCAGTCCCGGGAGGCCCATGGTTACACAAAGGTTACCCCAGCACAGCTCCAAACACTGGGCTCACTTGGCACCACCCAGGGATCACAGTCTTTGGGCATTCCGGTGCTGAAATCCTACCCCGGCACCGCTCCCAGAGCCGTGACCATCACTCGCCGCCAGAGCACGCAGGTGGCCCCTGGGGCCTGCTGCCCTCCCCACCCGATGCCAGGGTATCTGGCTGGATCCTCTGCCTGGGCAGCCCCCACAGCCCTCGGAGCAGGGGTGGGATGTGGGATGCGTGACACCATGGGCAACAGACTTTCCAACACCATCCTCGACCAGCTGAAATATAACATGGAGCTGTCRCTGATCCCAGAGGTTCTACCTTCCCCCTCCACTGGAAATCAGAGATATCCTGCTGACATGGCAGGGGAACCTCTGGGGCACAGCTCTTGTCTGACCAGTTCTGCAGCAGCATTAGAAAGCAAAACAAAACAAAAAAAAMCCCCACATACCGGGCCTGCCACAAAGTCACGGGCTGAAAAAAACAAAGCTGACAATACAGGAAATATGCTGGCACCGTGTTAACGTGTAACTTTAGCACAACTCAGGCCTCAATCAAAGACCTTTCCAAAGCCACCCCACGGAGCAGCTCCTGACCCTCTGCTACTCACTCTGCTGCTTYTCTTTCCAGCAGTTATTCCGAAGGTTTGCTATGTAGTCGTCCTCCACRCTCCGCTCAACGTTCTTCAGGTTCGTGCCCGTGTATTCCTCGGCGAAGCTCTCAGACACGTAGTAGGGCACTTTCAAGTGCTCTGTGATCCTCCTGTTCGTGTGACCCACGGACCTGGGGCAGGCAGAAGGACATGTTTGAAGAGCACAGCAAAGCCCTGGCTCASGTGATGTGATTCCAAAGGGCTGGGAAGATCCCTCACCCCTAAGCAGCCACAGGCTCGGAGGGGTGGAAGGGAGCAGCATTGCTGGTGGAATGAACCAGCAGCACAGGGAGAAGCTGCCAGGCCTCCAGCAAGGTGAGCAGAGCTCTGAATACTGACATAAATCCAAGGCACATTGCCCAGGGCTGAAACCCACCTAAAATAAAACATTCCCTGGAATTTTCATTGAATTATTAAATCTGTGATTTCCTCCGTCCACCAAGTGAGACCTGCTCTGTGCCCCGGCCTGCATCATGCAGCACAGAAAGTGCTTTCTAGAAAGAAACCCCTTCTTCCCCTGACCTTGTGGGTTTGTGTTTCAGACAAAGCCCTGCTCTCACTTCCCCTGACACCYCAGCAAAGCTAGAGATCCTCCCTAGGGTGTGTGTGTGAGCTGTAACACAGGAGCTGGGCCTGAACACTGGATTTGCCAGGAAWGGCTCCACCTGGACATGTGCCCTGATTTATTATTCCCCATAATAAATACCAGCCGCTGCTGCATTAAAAGCCAGCCTGATTCTTAAGGCAGGTATAAACATTAACTGATCCAGCTCGCCCTTCAGTCTGTTATCAGGGTTCACAGGAGCGATCCCAAGACTCCTGCACGTTTCACCGAGGCCTAGGCTGGTTAACTGGATGAACAGGAGAAAAAAACTCTGCTGGGATTTCTCAAGGCAGAGGTACAAAAAGCCTAGCTCACTATTTCCGCTGTCCAGGCAGAGCCCTGAACTCTCCCAATATTCCAGGCTCGATAAAGATGGACTACAGAGAATGCCCTCATGGCAGGAGGACTGGGTCTGCCAAAAATCACAAAAATCAGGGCACAAGAAACCTGTCAGCTGCAGTCAGACATGCARTGAAGTCAGGCCATTTTTATGAGCTGTTACTGAATGGCAACAATCAGGCAGCTTGTCCAGCAGGAAGATCATTTTGGGAAGAGATTTACAAAGCYAACAGCACCAAATGGTTCTTTACAACTCTGCCCCTCTCAGCGATAGCTTCACTATGGAAAAGTGGCATTAAAATCTCTGGGTTCAAAGCTTCTGCTCCCCTGCTTGCTGAGCTCAGGCACAGCTTTCCCTTCACTCATCTGGCAGTGAGTGATCCAGCAGCTCCTCCTGCCGGCACTGCACCACCTCATTGCAGCTCAAACAGCCTGGCTGCTCGGGAAGGATGGGGGAGCACTGGATGAGCTCATTTGCCACCTGTGCCCAAATCCAGGCTTGSAAATTGGGTTGCTTGATGCTACCTGAGCACAGAGACACAGGGTCAGCACTAGAAACARGGAACGGAGTGGTGAAGAAACATCTGGGGCTCAGGGAAGGCTTCCCCTGGCAGCTGGCACAGCTGGAAGCAAATCCCTGCCCATTTAAAAGCTTCAGTGTCTTCTCACCTCCCAAACTCTTCACCAGTACAAACTGGTATATGTGAATAATGATTAATTTCACAGCACTAACACCAGCTATGCAAATCACAGCTCAACGCTCTTCAACGTTCAGAAAAACCTTTGATTATGCCAAAACCACATCATCTTTTAGTCCCAAGCACTAATGTCACAGTCTTCACCCTGAATCTGAAAGCTGAGCCGGGTTTTATAGTATTTAACATCGTGCCCCACCCCTGGAATTGKTCAAGGCCAGGTTGGATGGGGMTTGGAGCAATMRRGTSTAGTGGAAGGTGTCCATGGCCATGGCAGGGGGCTGGAATAAGATAATTCTGAGGTCCCTTCCAATCCAAACCCTTCTGGGATTCTRTGATCTACAGGAAACRTTGCTACCTGGRAAGCTGAGCAGGAACCCCAGGCTGCAACCAGGTCTCTGTGCCCTCTCTAAATGCACAGAAGGAACCTGCACTGAACATGYATTAGGCTTTTGTCAAGGATGATGCAAGCAGACAGAAATCAAGCCTGTTTTCCCACTCTTTGTTGGCACTGCAAAGTGACTAAGAATTCCATTAGTCACCGGAGGGAGCAGATCAGGGCATTTCCACAGGAAATGTGGAACAAAACAGTTTCACTTTTGCATCCTAAATGTTTGGCCAAAGCTATTTCACGGCAAGATAAGAGTTCAGAAAGATGGCATTTCTCTGGGAGTGTCTTTTATTCCTTATCCTCTTCCTCTACTGCTTTGTACTGAGGCTTTCATGAAGAATCYCACTTTTTGTTTCTCACTCCCCAGTTTAACTCTACACCTCAATTCATTCTTCAAGTGGGATCTCGGTGCTAAAGCCTCCCAAAACCACTTTGTCTGTACCTTCCCATGACAGACACAGCTATAGGTATGGGCTGCAGAAGGTCCCTGAGGGAGTGAGCACCCTCCAACTTTCCCTGCACTCTATATCCCACACCTGCCTGAGAACCAGGAGAACTTCACTGGCAGCAAGAGCAACGGGGTCAGGAGATAAAGCAAAAAAAAAAAAAAACCCCAAACAAAAACCTAAAGAAAATGAGGTAAAACAGAGGCAAGATCCCCGCCCAGCCACACCCCTCCAAGAGCCCACCCCGTCCCCATGAGSATAAGTTTTAGGTACTGACGGCCTGTGGCTCAAACTGTAGGGTGGGCTGGAGACCATCATCTGGCTGAGAGCAGACACGATGATGAGGATGAGGATGGGCATCAGCTGGACGAACAGCCCCAGGCCACCCTGCAGGAACAGAAACACACACTGCAGTGCCACCCATACATCCGGACAAGGATCCTATGGCACCACCCTCCCTCCTCCCAGCGACCCAACACAACCTCCTCTCTCCTGCTTTTCACATGGAGTAACCCAAAAGAGCTGGGGGAACCCAGCAGCCCATAGGACTGTGATTCCAAAGGTCCAAAGCCACTGGCCCTTCTCTGGATGTGACAAAGGGCAGAGGGCACTGCCAGGGGGCACCTTGGGAATGAATTCCAAAAGCCTCATGCCCACAGTTTGTTCTTCTGGAGCAAACATGGTCCTGTCCTGCTGGTGCTAGTGAGCAGGATTGGTTTTACAAACAGCCTTTTCCCATTTTCAGTGCGGGATGAAATTAATTATCCCCCTCCCTCAAATCCTGAGCTCCCTCCAGTTCCACCTTCAAGCTAGAAAAACAAATACTCCAGCTTTCTGMTCAGGGGAGTGGCACCAAGCAGGACTGTCTCACAAGCCAGCCAMAGGAGCAAACCACGTGCTGGGGAAAGCTCCAGCCTCCCAGATCCCAGTGTGTTCTCCACTTACATCCCCCTGGTGCTCCCGCCTGTCCTGCCTCTGGTGGTAGGTGTATCTCATCCTGCCGTTGCTGTACACGTGAACATTACCTGTGGGCACAACAAAACTCTTACTCCAAAGTCACARTGTGGAGGGTGCTGCTGGCTGSCCAGSGAGGGGCCACWAAATGTGGCTGTGATCCATGTCAYCTGCTTCCWGGCTGGAACAGGGGTATTGCTAAGGTGATTCGAGTGCACAGGGGGCACTGAGATCCTTCTGAMAGATTTTGCAGGAGGATCAAATGGAAACTCAGCTTGGAGGCTCAACCTCCTGCCCAAAGCAGGGTCAGCTTCAGAGAGAGAATACCTTGCACAGGCCTTCTCGCTTCTGATTGAACAGATTAAAACCAACTACAAACAGAAAYAATTCTGGTGTTTTTCTCACCCTGAAAACAAAGTTCTTCCATGTCTTGTTTTAAATGTCAAAGCTACAGCTGCGAAGGGAGCCAGACCAAGAGAGCAGCCCTCAATTCTCTTGGGACAGTGAGGAAAGGGAAAAAAAAGACTGAGCTAAAATAGCAACGTGCTGTTTCTGCGGGAGCAGCTCAGACTCTCTGCCAGGCAGAGCATGAACGCTGCAAAGGCTTCCAGATGCCTTTGAGAGTCACTGGGGTTGGGGTGCTCGTTCTTAGATTCCAGACAGGAAAGAGCTACCAAAGTAAATTTTCTTAACTGAAACTAAATTATTTATTTTTCAGCTCGGTCCATAGAGGTCAGATAAYGCCAGTGCCCACTTCCAGTCAGATATGACTGGAGCAAGTGCAAAGGAATCTCCCAAAATACCCTTATCCTGACATGGAATCTGTATCTTTTGAGCAAATAAAGGAACAGATGCCTGATTCTTTCCTGCAACCCAAGCCATGATCAGCACTGTGGACAGAAAGGATGCAGATTTCCTTTTCAATTCATGAGGTCCAACCTATGCAGTAGAAATAATATTTTCCTCATTCTTTATGGCACACGGGGGAGAGAAGGAAGTGCCCACTGATCTCGGAGAACCTGCTCCAGCTGCGTGGCGGAGCAGATAGAGATCAAGAACAAGGCTCAGGTGTTACCACAGTTTGCTCTCACAACAAGATTTAAATTCTAAAACCACCAGGCAGAAAAGCCTTCCTCAAAACAGGATCATTCTCACAACAAGCCACCTTTTGTTCTACTATTTTTTGTTCTATTATTTTTTGTTCTTCTTTTTCTTCTATTCAACCCTTCCTAATAGTAGCTGATGGTGCCAGAATGCAAACAAACACCTAAGGCTGGGAAGAAGTCCATCTCTGATGGTTGCTGAGCTCTCAAAGCTGAACAATTTAAGAAACTCAAGGTGCTCAGGCCATGTGTGAAGGAGAACTCCCTCTCAGCAAGCTCAACAACCCTTGCACGGCCCAGTAAATCCAAACTGCGCTGTTCCAACAGGATGAGGTCCCACTCAAAAAGGATGAGGTCCCACTCAAAAAACGAAGGTTTAAGGTGCTTACTAGAAGGAAAGCCACCCCCAAAGAACATGTTGAAGAGGTCCTCGGGGGAGATGTCGGCCTCGAAGCCGCGGTGGAAGTCCGAGTGGCTGTGGCCGTGCCGGGAGGGGTTGAGTTTCTCATCTCCGAACTGGTCGTACTGCTTCCTCTTCTCCGGGTTGCTCAGMACGGCGTACGCGTTCCCGATGGCTGCAACACGGACAACAAGGAAGCAATTAGCTCCTTTCTCCCACGTGCAAACTGCCAGCATTTGCCTTGCTCATCACACAAATCAGAGCCTCAGCTACCCACGTCTAGGCAGCAGGTACCTGGCACTTGCCTCTTGCAAATCCAGACAGGAGGAAACCACACACAATGAAAAATTCCTTAATTAATTCAAATGAAGAAAYTGTGATAGTACTGATAAGGATTTGGTGCATGGCCTCAGAGAAACCCTTCTCCTGTAAGAAGCTGTGTAGGGAAATTAAATTTTAGTTGACAAATTATATTCAAAAGTGGTATTAAGGRAATTCAACGTCAGAGCCTAAAACCAGAACTGCAAAGAATTTAAATACRGGCTAAATCCCTGGAAAAGACTTTAAAACTTTCCATAAAAGCTGCTAAGGAAACATTAGCCAGAAGTTGCATSTGTCAACTATGAATTTCAGTATTTCCAGATGCCACACGTAAAGTGCATAATTACAAGGACTGTTAACCAGTGAGGGTGGAAATGTACTAGAGCTAAACCCCTGCCAGGACTCAAGAGTCCCTCTCCTTCCAGCCTCAGGAGCTTGAGCCCTTCTCCCAGAAGCTCTGCCTGCCACCCTCCTATTTTTTGTACTCACCTCTCGACACATTCCAGCTTCCCACTTCCCTCTGTACCAACCCACCCTAGCACTCCCTGGGATGCAAGAAGCCAAAATGCCCATGGCAGTGTAAAAGGCAGGGGCAGGAGGAACAGAAAAGGGGATAACGTGTCCTTTTTGGAGGAGATCAGCTCCGAGATTCAACGTTTTCCCCACAGTCAGACGGAGGTGTACAGTTTCTGGAGGGCAGAGGATGTAATGTCAATACACTCCTTCCCCTTCTTGGTTATAATTAGTGCACCCAGAGCAAACATTTCTAAAGCSAGGCAGGGAAGGTGGGCAAGGACTGACTCAGAGTGTATCAACCACACAGCTGGAAAGAACAAGGGAAGCGATGACAAYGGAGCATTTGTTCACTGGTCAGGCCTGACTTTGTGCCTACAAAGCCCAAGAAACACAGGATTTTAGCTCCAAGCAGCCAGGCTCAACTCTTTTCCCAAGARCAGACATGTAGTGATGCAAATCTGCCACGAGACAGCCTGCAGCCAGCTGGAACAGCAAACTGAGACACGGGCTCAGCACAAGGCAGAGCTTTATCAGCGGTCACTGGGAAGGCGAATGCCAACACTTCAGCTAATACATCAACGTGAGAAAAAATTAACTCATCTCCTCACAGCAGGGCACGTTTACCCCTTCACCCTCTGCAAACAAAGAGCTGGACTCCAGYTCAGCTCAGGGGCTGAAGGACAGGAAGGAGGAGGCAAGGTCTGAAGGAGATAACCCTGCAGCTGGGAATAAAGGGCACCTTGCTTAACGCTCCACTTCTGGCACGTAACTCCTGCCAAAGCCTTGGGCAAACATCGTWACTCACGATTGCAGGTGAGGAAACCTGCCTTTGGCCACTGAGGAATACCAGGATGAGCCCTGGAGCAGCAGCTCTGATGCTCTTTCATCGGCCCCCCACACCAGCACAGGCTCTCCCAAGTAGCTGGGGGTCAGTCACTATTTGCTAACATTTATCTGGGAAGGATTTAAGTCTTAAAAGCTTTGAACAAACCTTACCTAAGACTTTTACTGCTGAATTCATGTCTGTGAGGAGCTCACCTGAATACTGTATCAGTACACTCACACCACACCAGCCCTGCTCCCTGCTCCAGCACAAGTSTCATGCATTTCACTCCCAAAATCAGACTGCTTTGGGGTGGAAGGTGCCTTWAAGACCCTGAAGACCCTCTCCTTCCACACCCTGCCATGGGCAGGGACACCTTCCACTTAGACCAGGTTGCTCCAAGYCCCCTCCAACCTGGYCTAGAAAACTTCCAGGGATGGGGCAGCCATAGCCTCTCTGAGCAACCTGTGCCAAGGCTTCACCTCTTTGAGAATAAAGAATTTYTTCCCAAAAATGGCCAGAGTCAGACTACTTAAATGGCTTCGAAATCAGTGCTATACAACTGGCACCAAGGAGTGTTTAGCAATTGAGTGTTTAGCTCAATGATAATAATCACACTTCCACAGTTTGCAGGGGAAAAGGGGGTTATATGTTCCAAACAATGGCATTTCTCTTGGAAAATTACTCCAATTTTAAAGTATCTTATTACCCAGGAAACATCCCCACCACAGCTCTGAGAATTGGGCTCTTTGCAGCAGAACTGGAGCTCATGATGACCTTTCCTGAGTTCTGGCTATGGCTGCTGCAGTTTCACCTAGAAACTTCCACCTGGGATTTCTATCCACCAATTCCATCCACAAATGGTCAGGTGTCTCCTGGAGCATTTCTCCGGAGGGCTTTGCAAACCCCGTGGCTGCCTCTGCTGCTGCACCACGTAACTGGGTCAGTCCTGMCAGAATTCCCTCCTGAGCAGTGTGGCAGGAGGCTGGAGCAACACACAGGAAGGGCTGCTGGGAGGCAGGGAAGGAAGGCTTCTACTTATYCAGACAACAGAGGTGATTCCTACCGTGCCAACCTGTGTCTATTATTTTAAACTCAYGCTTTGTTCATCACACAACCAGCTCTGAAAGGAGACAGCTTCACAAAGAGCAGCTTTATTCCACTCTGCCTGACTTGTGGCTTCTTAAAACTCATTTTTAAGGGTTCTCACTAATCCAGCTCAGCAGAGTTGGGGGCAAACCACAAATCTGGAGCTGGCTTTACCTTTGAACGCCTCTGTGGCCCCCGGAGCGTGGTTCTTGTCCGGGTGGAACTTCAGTGCCAGTTTCCTGTACGCCTTTTTCAGATCCTCATCGGAAGCTTCTCTGTTCACTCCCAGAATTTCATAGTAATCYTTGCACTGCTTTACCCTGCCAGGGGAGAACACAAGGACACTTGAGTTCCAGGAGTGAAAACACCTTTGTCTTGAACACTTGGTAACTCTGAGACTCCTTGTGCAGCATGGTTTCGATGGATGTTGCTCAGGGATCTCGGCATTACTCAGCCCTTGCTCCTCAGAGTTGTTTTCACCGACTCATWCTGGCTGTGCCGGCACAACCAGCACGGAACGAGTCGGGCCAGTGCAGGAGGAAGGGCCTCCCCTCAGACCCACACAGGAATGTGACCAGCAAACAAACTTCACATTCATTGTGCTCACGTTTTGGAGACTGTTTTTTTTGGRAAGGACTACAGGGTCTGAAGGATATTGGCCTTTCCCYCCATCCCCCCTTTCCCTCCTCAGCYAATGCTCAGARCTAAAACCAGCTTTAGCTGAATTCCAGAGGAGGAAGCAGGGAGCTGCCAAGGGTGTGCAGTCCAGAGTTCCCTGGGCACACTCATAGTTTCTCCCTCTCACGTTACTGCAATGAGACAGAATCCAGCAGGCTGGGGTTTTTGAGACATGGATGATGTAACAAACATTCCTGCAAAGCCCTTGGAGTGGTTCTTGCGCAATTCAGGCTGTGCCCACAACCTTAAAGTTTACCAAGTCACTGCACCTGCAGTTGTGCCCTTCAGCTTCCAGGATGGGCAGAGGGGAGAAAGGAATAAATGGAAGCTCAAAACAGAGTTTGGAAAAGAGCAGACCCAATCCAGCTGCCTCCCAGGGCTGCTGGAGGTACAAATCCTCCTGGGCATGCTCTTAACACCATTCCATATGGCCCAAAGCTGAAATCTTTAAAAACACTGTGAAAACCAGACAGGAACCACATGATGAAGTCAAACAAAGGCCCTGGGGAGYTGTGCACAAACCTCTTCACTGCATCCAGCTGGTCCTGAGTGTAGCCCTTGGGGGCCTCCCCTCCCGCCTCCCCGTTGGCCGAYGCAAAATCTCCGCTCATTTTCCTGAACTGAGGGTTGGTGGATTCCTTGGACTGGGACTGGCCATTGGCTGACTGCTCGCTCTTGTTGAGTGACTCCAGCAGAACTGAAATGAGAGGAGGACAAACATAGAGGAGAAAGCACTAAGCCCAACCTGCCCTTCCATGGACAGACCCCTGTTCACCTCTGCCACTGAAGAACCCCCCATCCTTCCTCAGCAAGACCCTCACCTTTCCACCCATGCAACCCTTCAGCCCCTGCTGCTTCTCACCCAGGTGTGAGGGCCACTCCTGAAGATATTCTGCTTCTCCCAACACAAATAACCCCCACAAAAACCCCAGGACCACCCAGACACACAGTGCAGGAGCCACAGTGGATCACCAAAGTGGCATATATCCGTCCTTTTATCCCCTGCATCTCTCCTTGACAGCAAACCATGTCCAAATTTGTCCTTTGGAACATTATAAAGTATATTCTTCCTTATCTCCTGCCTTTGAGAGCCTGCTGTGCTGGGGAAGCGGTGTGACGATGCCATGTCTTTAGAGAGCTCAGAAAATAACTCCGTGGGCTGCCTATCCCACAGGGACACTCCCTTTTGGGGACAGAACTGCAGCACTGATGGCTGCCAGCTCTTCACACGAGTCTTTGTTCTCCTGTCTTACCTACAGGTTTGGAGCAGCAGTGAAAACCATCTCCTCTCTCAATTACTGATGTGCATAAATTCACTTTCCACTCTTCTTTTCCTCCTTGCAGGGCTCAGGCACTGTCYTCCCACTYTCTCCAGCCAAGAGGGGACAAACAWGCAGGCCTGGCCTAACCCCACAGGTGACACAATGGAGGGAGACTCCAAGCATCTTTCCATCATGCATTTCTCTGRCAGCTGGACAGCATCATCTTTTCAAACTCTTCTTTAAACCAACCATCAGACTGATTTCCTCAGCCCCATTAGAAAGGGCAAGGCACACAGTGAACCCAGCCAATGCTATCTACACAGGCCCCAGTACCCTGAGCTCACAGTCCTTTATGCAGACCCTACAACTGGGAAGGATGTTCCGCCTCCTCCCATGGATTGCACACTACAGACCTTGCACTGTGGGGGCATCACCTTCTTTAGGCAAGTGCAAACAACACTTGCAGACCAAGAGATGAGCCAAGATAGCCTATCTGGCTCCAGAAGCTTAGAGGGGCAAGAAAAACCCACTCAGTAATCCAAAAGTCAACACAGGATGAGGGATAAAAAGGACAGTGGGCTAAGGAGCAGTAACTCCCTGGATGAACTTTTGGGCTTGGGGGCTTCACAAATTTTAAAGTAATTTATTTTAGAAAAAGAAAATCTTCCCTCTTCATATTCACTGAATTACAGTCTTGGGTTTTGCTCCTTCCAAACCTGGACCAATCTAGCAGGTGCTTTTAAATTTCACCTCACAAGTCTGTTCCCCACCTACGCCTCCCTTCCTGCTGGTTTGGGCTCAGTTCCCTACAGCTTGCCAGGAGATTTTGATCCTCAAACAGTTTGGGTTGGAAGAGATCTTAAAACCCATCCAGTGCCACCCCTGCCATGGGCAGGGACACCTCCCACTGTCCCAGGCTGCTCCCAGCCCCAATGTCCAGCCTGGCCTTGGGCACTGCCAGGGATCCAGGGGCAGCCACAGCTTCTCTGGGCACCCTGTGCCAGGGCCTGCCCATCCTCAGAGGGAGAAATTCCTTGCCAATATCCTATCTGTACATGCTCTCTGGCAGTGGGAACCCATTCCCCCTTGTCCTGCCACTCCAGTTCCTGACGAAACCCCTCTTGAGTTTCCTTGTATCCCCTTTAGACACCAGAAGGAGCTGTGAGGTCTCCACACACCGTTCTCCTCTCCAGGCTGAGCAGTCCCAGCTCTCCCAGCCTGGCTTCACAGAGGAGGTGCTCCAGTCCCTTCAGCAGCTTGGTGCCTCCTCTGGGCTCTCTCCAGCAGCTCTGGGTCCCTCCTGCACTGGGCCAGCTCTGCAGGTTGGGTCCCAGCTGAGCGGGCAGTGGGGCAGAACCTCCCCTCCCCGTGCTGCCCGAAGTGCAGCTCCCAAACACACCCACAGAAACCCATAGAAACCCACAGATCAGTCCCATTTCACTCTACAGCCCCAATCCCRTTGCTTTTTGCATCCTTTGTGCAGCCCCAGCACAGCACAAATTCAGGGATTACTGAAGCAGAGTGCAGAATTAGTTTTCACTTCTGCCAACTCAGTTCCTCCCTAGCACGTGTCACGGAGCACTTTTCCTCCCTCATTAGCCAACATTTACCCAACTTCCCATAAATTTTCCCCAGCTCCCACTTCAAGATGACCAGCGTGTGACTGTGCTTCTGCCARCGTGCTCTGACGTGGGAGATTTTTGCTGCAATCCCCTTGCAAAACCCTTTCCTGATCCCGAAAAGCCCAGCCAGGGTCAGAGTTTGCWGCATTGGCTGCGCAAGGGCCACGTCGCTGAGTGTTGCCAAACCCAGTGTAAATCCCAGGAAAGAGATTTCCCAGGAGCCCCACAGAGACTCAGTGACCACCATGGGATCTCTGGCAGCATTTCCCAAATCCAGACCCAGCAGGACATCAACCAAAGGGTCCTTGGATGAGAAGCTTTGGTTGGGTCTGGCCACAAATTAGCATGTTGTGTTTAACATTAACCTGCCCTGCTGACCCCCCCGGCCTCTGCCTTCCTCCAAAAGTCACTTTTCCTACCCAGTAATTTCACCAAAGTATAAATTCTGAAGGAAAACAACACCACATGCGTGACATGCTGTGTTTGAGGGAGCTGGAAGAGGCCYGGTGCAACCAAAAAGAGGATTACAGGAAGCCTTTGGACAAACAAGTTGCAAACCTCAGCCAAAGGATCCAAACTCAGATGAGGTCAAAATGAAAAAAAAAATCTACAGTGTCAAATTTTGATTTGATTTTGCATCAAATTCTGCAATAAAAGAACATGTAGGGAAAGAACTGTGTTTGGTCGCTTCAACAAACTGCTTCCCACGTTAATTAAAGATGCCAGAAAGCTGGCAGAAAGTATCCAAGGAGGATTATTTTGTTACACACGTGAGGGTGTGAGCTCAGCCATGGCCTGTCTGTTTGTGGACAGTGGGAAATTGCTGGAAGAGGAACAGGAGAGCGAGAGGAGGAGGAATGGGAGGAGGAAAGGAGGAGGAATGAGAAGGAGAGGAGGCATAAGAGGAAGAGATGAGGAGGAAGAGGAGGAGTAGAGGAATAGGAGAGAGAGAATACGAGGGGGAATGCAGGAACAGGAAGAAAAGGAATTGGAGGAGGAGATAAGGAGGAATAGGAGAGGGAGGGACGAATGGGAGGAGAAAAAGGAGGAGGAAAAAAAACAGAACGAGGAAAGGAATAGAAATAGGAGGAGGAGAGGAACAGGAGGGATAGGAGGGGGAAAGGAGGAGTACAAGGAGAGGAACAGGAGAGGAGGAATAGGAACAGGAGAAAAGAAATAGGAGGAACAGGAGAAAAGAAATAGGAGGAACAGGAGAAAGGCTTCTCACAGCCTCTCGAGAACTACTCCCTCGCCTTGCCAGGCCCCTTCCCTCCCTCAGCGCTGCTCCACCGGCAGCGGGTGTTGTGCTCGCTCCTCAGGGGTCCCACAGCAGCGCGGAGCCGGTCCCCCTTTCCTTCCCGGCCGCCTCCTCACTGCGAGCCCCCGCTAGAGACAGAGGCCGCGGGCTGACGGTGCCTAATCCCAGTCCACAGACAGCACCCGGTCCCGGGCGGAACCGSAGCCGAGACCCCAAACACCCTCCGGGACCCCMGMGGAACTCGCTTTCCCGGCGTGCCCCGCGCGCACTGCGCAGGCGCGCTGCGGGTGAGAGGTCAGGCCCGGCGGTGGCCGCGCAGGCCGCGCTCCCCCGGGCCCCCCGCCGCGCCCCCGGCTCGGCGCTCACCGCGGACCCGCTGCGAGGGRTACAAGCGCTGCGCCTTCTCCAGGAAGCGGCGGGCCTTGTCGGGCTGGTTGGCCTTGGCGGCGGCCAGCGCAATGCCGATGCACCGCTCCGCCTCGTCCCGGTTCGACTCCATGGCGGCGGCGGCCGGGCGGGGGGGCGGAGGGGCGGGGCCGGGCGCGGGCCGATGACGTCACACAGACCGGCCCTCAGCGGGGCGGCGCCGGAGGCGTCTGTTTGGGAATCCGGGAGAGCCCCGGGCGGGATTTTGCGGAGACAGACGGCGATTCCTTGGGAGCAGCGAGGTTTGGGTGGCCCCCCGGCGACCGAACGCCAAAGGGCACCCCCGGGTCCTGCGCTCGGAGCAGGTTCGGAAGGGAAGGATTAACCCCTTCAGGAATTCTGTCAGAGCAGAGTCCTCCTCCCTRTGGAGTTTCCTGCCTTTGAACCAGGTCCTGAATGAAGGAGACGCTAAAGAGGGATGAGGCTGTTCAGAGGTGTTGAATACATTCAGGGATGGAAGGAGGAGCCTTCACTATGTYCCAAACGAGCGAATTCAGACACGGGTGACATATCCCTGCGTGGGGAGCAGGCAGGAGAGAGGGAAGAAYGGCTGCAGCCAGGAAGGGCCAAACGTGCACTCCCACACTGAYCTGTGGGGTGTGACAGCACAGGGACCCACACCCAAACCGCCCCAAAGGAGTAGGCTGGGGCAGGGAAACGAGGGGAGGGGAGGAGATGACTGTAGGTGGAGTGATCAGGAACAATATCCCTGTATGAACCATGGAATGCTACAATGGTTTGGGTTAAAAGGGACCTTAAAGCCCATCCTGTCCCACCCCTGCCATGACAGGGACACCTCCCACTGTCCCAGGCTGCTCCCAGCCCCAGTGTCCAGCCTGGCCTTGGGCACTGCCAGGGATCCAGGGGCAGCCACAGCTTCTCTGGGCACCCTGTGCCAGGGCCTGCCCACCCTSMCAGGGARSAATYCCTTSCCAATATCCCATCYRKCCCTGCCCTCTGGCAGTGGGAMSCCATTCCCTGTGTCCTGTCACCCTTCTAAATAGGCCCTCTTAATGTTTCTTGTAGCTCCTTCAGGCMCTGGAAGAACACAATTGGGTCACTCTGGAGCTTCTCCTGTCCAGGCTGAACAATCCCAGCTCTCCCAGCCTTCCCTCCCAGCAGAGCTGCTCCATCCCTCTGACCATCCTAGCAGCTCCAGGTCCTTCTTGTGCTGGGGAAGGAAAATATTCTAGGAGTGATTTATCCCCTTTGTCTTTCCTGCTCTGGAAAGTCACAGGGCTTTTTTACTCCCCCCTCCAAAACACCCCACCTTCAGTACCTCAGCCCCARCCTTGGGTGGAAATGTGGAGAGATGGAGACAGAGCTGGGTTGTTGTGAGCAACATCTTTACATGGTATTTTACAGAGAACAGCACCCGGCAAATGACGCCTGTCAGCCCCTTCCCGACACAATTCCCCACAGAGAGGGCTCTCCATTGAGGMAATTCATTAGGGAGCTCCTGCAGCAGGATGCTTGTGCAAGGAAAGGGCAGCAGAGCCAAGTGCTCCACTACTTACAGCTGCTCTTCCCCTGAGGCAGCACCTCTGCCCTTGTGCAGGTGCAGCACGGAGCTTTTCCCCAGCTGAAATCCTGGCCTGGTCTCCAGGAAATCCAGGAATTGCACAGCTTTTCCGAGGGGCAGTCTGAGGAGGAAAATAACCCCCGTGCCATTTTTTCAGAGCATTAAATAAAGGTGATTTTGGGATCAGCTCTCAAGCAGGGCACTTCACACCACGCTGGTGGTGGCAGCAAAGTCCTTTCCTTGTTCCTGAGAGAGAGGAATATTAAGGAGCCAGCAGCAAGCAAATACAAACAGGCTTGGATTTCTAAGTGGGATTTACAAAACCCTCCTGTCACAGCCAGCCTGGGCTCTCCAGAGCCTGGTGCCACCCTGCTGGTGCCCAGGGCTGATCCAGGGAAYGGGGGTGCTCCTTGCTGACCCTGCTACTGCTGCTTGGGAGCTGTGAAGTCCCACGCTGTCTCCTGGGCACATTTCCACATGGCTCTCATGAGCCGTGTGAAGCCCATGTCCTTGGGCTTCTCCAGGCCTCTCATCAGCCGCTGCTTCATGATGGCAACAAACTCCTTGTTGCTCAGCTCCCCGTTCCCTGTGARAAGGAGGAAAAATAATCAGAGACTCATCGCCAGCCTCCCTGAAATTGTAAATTTAACGAGCAGCAGCCATGAGTGTCCTTTGCTGCACGGACTGAAATCACATTTGGCTCCCACCTCCCAAAATACCTCCCAAGCCGTGTTTAAATCAGTTTTAAATTAAATTCTGCATTTGAATTAAAGTTTCCAGAGTTTAAATCCCAACCCTATGGATACTTGCAGGAGGTAGAAAAGAAAATGCAAATCAAATGTCTGTCTTTCTCACAGGAAACACTGCTTTAAGTGATTTTGGAAATTATGGGTGCACAGTTTYTTCTTAACGGAGTAGAAGGAAAGGTTTGCTGATCTGGTGAATGAGGTTATGGAGAATGCTCCCATTGGGCAGTGAAATTCCAGCAAACTGTCACGAGGTGAGTAAAATTCCTCTTGTGCTGCAGGTTTTTAATGTCTGTAAACAGTGATGGAGTGRAAACACCAAAATAATTATAAAAAAAGAGGTCTGTGCCTGCTTTGGTACTTGATTTCTTCCTTGGGGGCACTCCTGTGGCAACCACAGCCTTTCCCCCAAAAGGTTTGTTATCAAAATATTTAGCAGATTGTCCTCTGAGAGAAGGCAAATAGGGAATATTTGGATGCACTTCAGCTYACTCTGATCTCCAGTCTAATCATTTAGCTTGAAGATTGCATCAGAATAATGCTATTGAAGCCCAGAGGAAAATAAAACAAGAGATGTGACTTAGAAAGGTGCAAAGGAGCAGATGGGGCTGAAACAGAGAGGGACAACAAAGAATAAAGTAATGAAATAAAATTTTTAATGTTGATATTTTCATGCCACTGCTGCCACTCAGAGCTGCCAGATGCTGGTGACAGTGCTGGAGAAGCAGAGTGCCAGCCAGGACTCTGATTTTGGCTTGGCAGTTTTGGGTAAATGCAGAATTTCTTACTTTCCAAGCTGGAATTGCTTCTATCATCCCCTGGTGGCAAAGACTTCAGTAATTCCCACTAAATGAGCCTGGGAGCACTTCAGTGCAGCAACAACKACCCCGGAGTGCTCGCATCCTCTGCAGAGCTACGGGGCACAGCAGGGCACAGAGCTGCCATTAATTTATTACAAATTCAGCTGATATTTGCCCAGGACTTTGGAGATAAAGCCCCAGACCGGCTCCTTTCTAGCACTGGAGCACAACAGCTCATTTTGTTAAACAAATGGAATTTCTGTGGGGAGAAAAAGTGTGTACCCCAAACACGCTGAGATSCACTTCTCCCAAGAAGGGTACCGGTCCCAAAAGGGCAGGAGCATCACCACAGAYCCATGGACAAAGAGCAATGGCAAGAAGTGTCCTTTTTGCCTGTATTTCTTTCCCTGGGCTCTCTCCCAGGCTGGCTGAGCTCGGGGCGGTCACTCACCGTCGCAGTCGAAGAGCGCGAACACCACATCGCACACGTGGTCCGAGAGCTCCACCTTGGCCACYGTCCTGGCCACTTGCTGCATGGTCACTGCAACACAGGGAGGGCACAGGGTCACTGAGGGGTTACCACGTGCCAGCTGCAGCAGGAGACTTCCCTCCTCCCTTGAAAAACCACCTTTGTGTCTTCCAAGCTTGATCAACAAAGCAGCTCCTTCTGACAGCGTTCCAAAGATGATACTCTTATCAAGCAACTATCCCAGAAATCTGGGAATTACAAAAACTGCTTTTCCTAATTGCAGAACGAACCCATCCATCCAGGCCTGGTTACCTTGCAATAAAATAAAGAGTTGGAAGGAATTATTTCCCTCTTCTCCCCAGATGGGCAGCAGAGAAGCRAGCAGGAGTTTTATTCCCACCTTTAGAAAAAGGCAATTCATGAAGCTATCAATTTGGCAGTTGATTTTGCTGCCAAAATGGGGAAAAAAGCTCTCACTTGGGTGGTGTAAGAGTATTTAAATTGCTCCTCWACAAAGCCTGACCCGAGGAAATGCCATCCACAGCAACTGGGATCAATTTTAGCTGTGGAGCAAKGGAGATGGGGGAAGTGGTGCATCACAAAACCAGACTGAAAACAAAAAGAGCCTCTGCTTTCCTCCATAGCATCCTCAGGGGTTTCTGCACCCCTGGTCCTTCAGGAATTTTGAAGAGTTATGTGTGTCAGAAATGAAAAAAAAATCCAAAATATACTGTGACTGGATTAATTACAAACTGCATAAAATATTTCTAATAGGATTTTATTTTAAACATATGTTTACATTATTGGTACCTTCCACCCCATTTCTGCTCCCCTGAATGAAATTTGGGKTTTTCCRAGAGGAATTCACAGCCACCATCAGGTTCTTTTCCCCTACAAAACCCCTTCTTTTACTAAATAATACAGGAGAAAACTGAAATTACACATTCTATATATATATAATACATATAATCTCAAGTAGGATCCTGTTTTTCCCCCACAATTTTTTTTTTTGAGTGAAGTCCCTTTCCTCCATGAGCAATGTAGCTCCTGACAGCAGTTATTACTCCATATTTCTTCAGAGAGCAACACCAAATTTCAYTTAACTTGCTGTAAATGTGAAACTTGTCTCAAGGTGCTTCACCTTGACGCCATCCTCCCCCGCTACTGAAGTTATTTGCTGTAGCATTACATGTAAAAAATTTAGAATTATTTCCTAGATCACAGAAATACAGAATGGTTGGGTTGGAAGGGGCCTTAAAGCTCATCCTGTGGGACACCTTTCAYTGTCCCAGGGTGYTCYAAGCCCTGWCCAGCCTGACCTTGGACACTTCCAGKGACRGGCAGCCACAGCTTCTCTGGGCAAATAGTGCCAGGGGCTCCTCACCCTCACAGKRAAGAATTTCTCCCTAACASCAAATCTACATCTGCCTTTTCAGTATAAAACCACTGCCCCTTGTSCTAATTCCTTTAATTAMAGTYATGTTTTTCTGCTGAGATTTCACCYCCTCCTCCTTCCATCCCTAGGGGGAGTCTCGAGATCCCTCCCCTCTTATTTTTTCTCGAGATTCTTCCCCTCCTATTTATTTTTCACAGCTGCAGTTTTCCCAGCTGGAACTCACACTCATGGCCACCAGTTCCTGTTTCCTCTCTTACTAATCCAATTCCCCGTGTGTCAGCTCCATCCCATCATTCTTGCATGGTGTCAGAATGACTTCACAGGGGTTGTGTGACTGTGCTGAGCTCGGTTAGGGCTGAGCTGTTTTTTTTTTCATAAGGAAGAGGGCAAGGGCCTCTGCTTTCCACTTCCACACACATGCTCCAGAGCACAGGGTAGCTCAGGGAAGCAAATCAAATTGAAGTAAAGCTGCTGGAGTAATTTCTTTACCATTTCACAAAATGAAATAGGTGCCATCTGGGGAATATCTCCTAAAATAAAGCATGTCCAGATTTGGGGTTCTGGGACAGAAATTTTCCGGGATTTCATAGCACTGAAAATGAGTTCCACACTTTTATCTTGAAAAGCTTCTAACATTTCATGAATTGGTGTCTCCCACTGGTTCTTTTAATGAGCCATCTGAGTTATTTCATGCAAGTTTAGTGTCTGACACAGTTCTCCTTTTTTCCACTCTGATTCCCAGAACTGCACCGTGAGCAATGCCTCTCTGAGTGCCTGCAAACGGGGCCTCGCCAGATGGCAAACTTCACTTTTCCCCTCCAACTTGAGATTAATCACACTTTTGGCCAAAACAATGGACAGCTGGGTTCCTGCCTTTCTTTTCCAAATGGCACTCGGGGTGATGGGAGCAGAGCTTCATGCCCKGGGCCATTCCAGGCTGGAAAGGCAGGACATGTGTGGTTTGGGCTCCCAGAAATCAGTCTCACATTGATGCACACGTTTCATTTCAGGGCTCCCAGTTGGAAATGCTGGATGCTATYGCTGACAGTRYAACTACCAAAATCTATTTAACTTTTTACAAATCATTTGCAGGAGTACATGCCAGGACATCCATCCAGGAAAGAGATGGCTAAGCCTCGTGCAATCCTGTGGGCAGAGAGCATTTTAATTTGTCTCCTCAAAATGTGAGGCTGCAGCCCCACAGCTGAGGAGAAGCTGTTTGGACATCAAAGGGAGCATGGCAGAAAGTAAGGGAGATCATGGAGAAAAAGGCAGAGCTCCTGGCCCAAAGGCAGAGCCAACCCCCTGTCTGTGCAATATCCACAGTCATAAATATGGAGAGAAAGGGGATTCCTTGGAGATACCCAAACCTGACTGCAGGTGGCCCAGGGCAAGTGGCTGGAGGGGATCCTGTTAGAAATGAGGGTCTCCAGAGGGTCCTCCCCTCCCAACTATCAGCACTGCTGTTATTCCAGAGGAGCAATGTGAGCTGTGCTTCCAGGGGGACTGACTTCTTCYATCCCTCTCCAAGGCACAGTAAAGCAAGCAGCAATTCCCTGACTGTGCTCCAAGCTCACTCTGCCTCCTTCCCAATTCCCTGTCAACTCTGCAGCCGTTTCAAGCAGCATCATTCAAATAAAATGGTTTTCCATGAGCCTCTCCGGAGCTCCAGCCCTGCTCCAAGGCACAGATCAGCAGTGGGCTCAGCTTTGGCCCATCTCAGCTTTGTCTCACCGTGCTTTGGCCCATCCATGCCCTGCCTCAAACAACAAAGTCCAATTCACACCCTCCTGAAAGGGAAATAAGCACCAAATTCAGCTCCTGTCCTGCTGCCAGCTGGGAGCCCAGGCTGGAGAAGTTTTCTAAKGAATGCTTGTGATTTAAGACAATGACAGCTATTATGGTGCTGGGAAAATGAAAGATGGGCTAACAAATAATCTGGGTGTTTTTAAATGGGTCATTAAAACACTGGTTTATGATCCTTTTTAGAAGAAGAAGCKACTTTAATTGAGCACAGAAAACAGGCTGTCAAGCTCTGGCTGTTTGGTACCAGCCAATTTTTTCCCCTCTGAAATTTTAAACAGCTTTTCTAAAATTATAATCATCTTTGCTGCATTGTTAGCAGCAAATTATTACACAAACTAACCACTTCCTAGTTCCTGTCCCAGGAGCAATTTTTGCATTTGTTAGTTTGTAACAAGCAACCTTGTGAAACCTTGACTTTTGGGAGGGCTTACCCCATTTATGGTTTATTTGATTTAAACYTTACTCCTGCCCAAGGAAGGTTCCCTTACCCAGCCAAACACTCCCAGCTCAGTGGCTGCAYGTGCTCATTAATGGAACATAATTAAACAGCAATCACACTGATTTACCAACTACACACAGACCTAAATTCTCCAAAAWTGCATATTCCACGACAGGACAATTRCTAATTTCCTCTAGGCACTGAGTACATCAGATTTGCTGGGCTATTACCTCCTCTGGGATGCTGCAGAAAGGGCTCAGAGCAGCAGCAGCACACCCAGACTTGGGAATTTAGTTTAAATGAAAGAAAATCCTATCAGGTATTTTTAAGTCTTAAGGTAATGATAATCTAAACCAAAGAGTACAGATGTTTTCCCCCCCAAAAAAAATTTAAGATGAGAAGGGCTGCTGACACATACAAGAGATGTGACACATTTGTTCCCCTCTGTAATTCCACTGCCCCAAAACCTATTAATGCCTTAATATTCCCACAACAGCAGCAGTTGGAATAGCTGACTTCCGAAATGTTGAATTTTGCAGCTGCCTAAATACATCAGCTTTAACTTAGTAGTAGACAAGAGTTTCCACTTAGCCTAGAAATCTTTTAATGGGTTTGCCATCTTTTTTTTATATTCTGTCTGAGTGCTTAAAAGAAACGAAAAAAAACACCAACCCCTCTTAAAAAATCTAGAAGAGCAAAGCCCACACTTGTAACAGATGCTGCTTACAGAGCTGGACTTTGGTCTGAAATATATTTTGGGGGGGGGGGGGGTGCCTTTTTTCTTTTGGTTTTTTTTACATCTGTGTGTCAGATCTGAGAACACACCTGATGAAGACCAGCTCAGAAAAGAAACATGATGAGAAGAAGGATATGGATTGGTCTGATCAATAAACCACATTATTACCAAGGTTCCCAGGAAACAGTAGCTCTTGAGGTTTATTCAGTCCCCTCCTCTGGACTGTGAGTTATCTGAAAGAGAGTCCCTGGACAGACTTTAATGCTCAGTCTGGGACCTCTGTGGGGTTCCAGTGCTCCCCCCCTTTCCCTCCAGTGGTCCCAGGAGCTCCAAAGGTATTTGCCACTGCTGGATTTCCAATGAGAAATGCAGGATCTGGCCATMCAGCTCTTATTTCTGGGCAAAGCCTCTGTTTTTTGAGCAAAGCTGAAACAAAACAAGGGTTGAGCAGTTCCTACCACCAGCTCCTGCTGCAGGTTCTGGACTCTGCCGTGGGGATCAGAGACACCACACAAGGTAAGTCTGCAAAAATTTATTTACACTCATTTTTGAAGCCCTTTGCATAAGGAAAAAAACAAAGGTCATGTGAGAAAGATGGGGATGAAGAAGAAACACTTCTGGTGTCCCTGGGATGTGRAATCAGAGCCTGTGACACGGTCACGAGGTCACCTTGCCTGTGCACACAGCWGAATGGTCCTGCTGAAGGTACCACTGTGAAATCACTGCTTCCTCATCCATTCAGGCTACATGTGCCAGCCTCTTTCCTCCCTGTATCTAAAACTGGGGGAGTGTAAAACTGTAAAACCTGCAATCCTTCTTTATCCATGGATGYAGCAAGCTAAGCACCTCATTACAGGGAGGAACTGCGATTTGGGTACATTTCTGACATGTCAGCCTGGGCTTGTTTGACATCTTCCCAACTCCAAAGACAMCACATGAGCTGTGCTCCCTCAGGCTTTCAGTGCTTGAACATCCCACAGCTTTTAATACCTTTATCAAGAGAAGCTCCAGCCATGTGGTAGAAGCTCAAAGCTGTGTCCACGTCATTTATATTCTTCAGGAAAGTGAAAAAGTTCTCCACCTCCTCAAATGTCAGCCCCTAGGACAGAGAAAAGACATCCTGTGGTGATGGGAAAAGGAAATCATGGACACTGCCTGGAGATGACAAAGTGACTCATTGGCCCAAAGCTGTGGCCAGAAAGGAATTCATCTGCACACTCCAGAAACACAACCTTGGTATTGAGGATGTGAGTTGTGACTGTCACTTTTGTTCCCCACCTCTGCTTCCCTCAGTCCTGCAATGGGAAGGGACTGAAAACCATTTCCAGGGGAATGGACACCCCACGAGCCTGAGGTTGGCATGCAGGAGACCACTGCAAACAAACCCATTTACAATTTTTTTTGAAGCCTGCACACTTGCATTGACAATATGAACCAGTCTGTAACGTGTCTCCCAAGAGATTCAGGGATCCCTGGGGACATCCATGCCTTACCCAGCGTGGCAGAAGGTGACACTGCAGCCCACAGCAGTGTCCCAGTCTGCTTTGCTGCTGGAGGCAGGATCCCTGTGAGCTCCACTTCTCTGGGCCAAGTGAGTGTGTGCTCAGTGAGTGCTGACAGCCACTCTCTGGGACAGTCATGGAAAAACACCCTGAGATCCTCTGGAGAGGAACAGCTGATGAGCACAGCTCTGGGATCCCCTCCTGGTTCCACCACASCTGCTTTTAGCACCCTGTTCAGCTGCAGCACAAGCACAGCAGTGCTGGGACAGGAGCTGGAGCCTCCAGCTCCTCCAGCAGAGCCACGGCGTGGAGCCAAGGGAGGAGCTGAATCATCCCCACAGTTAGAACCACTCAGACTCTCTCTCTGGGAAACATAAATCAGCTTGTCAAGGGSAGTTCAGGCTCAGGCCCCTCCTATCCTGCCTGGCACAACAGATTAATAGAGCAAGATATTAAAAGTCCTAACTGTAGAACACAGCACAGTTCCATGGTCTGGATGCATTCAGCAGCTACTGYCAAATATCAATTTACACAATCTGCTGTAACCCTGCTCAAACAACTTCTAATCATGGATGAAACCACCAATCTTTTGAAAGAAAACACACATTTTAAAGGTCTTTCCATACAGACATTTGCAGCTTCTTCCTGTCTTTGCTGTGAGTGAGCATGTGGCACTGCACTGATGATCTACGTGTGCACTGACATGTGCAACAGCAGCTCTGTCAGCCCTGGACTGGTGGATCTGGGCCAAAAAGGATGAGATGGCAAAATGGGAGAGCACACGTGGACAACAGAGCTGAAGAGAGAAATCCCTGGTGACAGTGCAGGGAGCTTTCCTTGAACGTTTGCCTGATCCTCTTCCTGAAAGGAACACTAGGATGTACGGCAGAATTAAATTAAATACTGTCCTAGGAAAAAAAAAAAATCCAATAAATCAGGTACCTCTGCAAGAAGCACTGCAAAGATGCCTCTGTTTTGTACAATGGTTGTACAGGAGAAAGCATCAATTATCACGATGCCTCCCTGCCTGGGAGCAGGGCACTGAAAGTGTGGAAAGCCTGGAGGAARCACAAGGTGTGTGGCCACTTCCAGGCCAGCAGAAGACACTGTGCTGTGACCTGCCTGCTCTGTGTGGGACACCTGAGGTTTGTAGTGTTCTGAGAAAAGAGCCATAAACTTTGCATTTTCCTGGAATTCATGAAATCAYAGATGCCAAGGCCAAGCAGTGCTGCTGTCCATGCAAAACGGCCCCTTGTTTGGAATCCTGGATGCTTTGGGTGGGAAGGGACCTCAGAGCCCATCCCATTTCATGCCCTGTCACAGACAGAGACACCTTCCATTATCCCAGGTTGCTCCAAGCCCCATGCAGCCTGGCTTTTGCAGTCCTTTCACCAAAAAAGCAAAAGCAGTGATACACATGTATCTTACAAATCCTGGCTTTCATGTGGACACAACCACTGAGTGTCTGTAGCAAGAATGTCATCAATATTATGAAAYGTAATATTTTCTTGAGGAATTCCATAGGTGAAGCTGGCATCAGCATGTACTCTGTTCCAGCTACCTAAATAAAACAAAAATCAGAGAACTGGGACAGCCTCAGACAAGTCAACAGATGAATGCTAACCTCTTGCAAGGCACTTGTAGCTCCAGCTGTTGATTCATAAGCCTGAATGCCCTTCATCACCCAAGGAATTCTCACAAAACATCAGCAGGGAGACTCTAGAAGCACTTACCTTCTTCTGACACAACAGCTCAAACATCTGCAAAAATCAGGGCTTTTCACCTGGGAACCCAGCTCCAGCCAGGAATTTCACCTCACTGCCACCCCCTGCCATCTCCACAGGAAAATATCCCAGCCAGCACSCAAAGCACATGTAGAAGGTGATATAAATCACAAATTTCTGAAGAGACAGCTTGGCTTTTTRGCAATTAGGGGGACATGAACCAAAATGATACCTTGGTTGTAAATATTACTGATGATTCAGGTCCTTTTTAGCAGGAGAAAAGCAGCTGTTTAAGTACAACTTGAGGAAGACAATCATAAGCAATGTTAAACCAAACAGAATGTGGCAGCTCTGCTGAAGAGACAAAGTTCACCTATCCAGGCTAAGATGGGATCTTGCCTCAAGAAAAATAAAAGAGCAGATTAGCAGTTAATACAAGAAAATTTACCACTCCCAAAAGTGGGAAGGCAGCATAACAGCACTGAAAAAAAAGACTGGATTAAACCCCAAGTTTTATAATTTTGGAGGCTGCCACGGTTGCCTTGTGCAGCCAAGATAATTGCATCAGACAAGGAAGACAAGATTCCTTAAGAAAGCTCTCACAAGGGAACTGTGAGAGCTGTTTCCACGGGAAAGCCTTGCTGGGTGAGTTTGGGACAGTTCCTGGGTATTTCAGCCTCACCAGTGTAAGGAATCACRAATTTTCCACCAATTCTGTTCCTTGCAAATATAGGGTGGTTTTTTTTTTTTTTTTCCTATTGCCCATTTTCTCTCCTTGAAAGTCCTTGGAAAAGGAAGACCAAGACTTGCTCTGAATCTGGCTGGCTGTAAATAGAAACACAATCTGGCTGATTTGGGATGRGGGATAAGGAAAGAACAAGAAGTTCTTCCTCTGGCACAGATGCTGGGGGCTTACACATGAAAGGAAGAAAACATCTGCCCTAAGAAACCTTCCAAAATAAATCCCTCTACCTCTCTTCTCACACTTCCAGCTGCTGTTCAGTAATATATACACCAAAAAACCCAGAAATAACATAAATAGTAATAAACAAAAAATAATAAAATATATAAAAGCAAAAATCACAGCAAAAGAAGCAACAATTTACAAACTTTAACAGCAGAGCTGAACTTGGATTCCCAGGTGAAAAGGCCTAATTTTCTGTTAGACACACACTACATTGATGCACTTTTTCCTGGAGAAATCAAATGATTCCTCTTAATGTAGGAGTCCCATTAAGGAACAAGAAAAGGAGCAGATCCTGGTCAAARCTTGTGTTTTATAACACACTTGGCACCTAAAGCAGTTAAGAAATAAGCTCCAGCTCTGATGTCAGAAGAAAGCAGCTCTAWAACAGCCAGACAAAGACTTTCCATCCACTCTCACTTAGATGAATTGCTTGTTTATACCTTAGTTAATAAAAGAACATTCCAGCTTAACAAAAGAACATCCATTACAGGAACAGATGTAAAATTCTAATGCTCAAGAATTTCTCAGCCCACACTTGCCTCACCTGATAAAGCACATCCTTGGGGCATGGATATCTTAATCCAAGGTCTCTCGCTGAATTAATGAGCAGAGGATCTGCAAACTTACTCCTCTCTAAATTGTGAGTAATTTTTCCCAGAAGTTAATAACTAATAATAAACTGCCTGGTCTCAGCAGCTAATGAATCCAAGGTCAAGCCAGGAGCTGGGAGCATGGCTTCAATGTTTGTTCTGGCTCCAGAGCCAGGGTGCCATTCAGCAAATTGAATTTTTAAAATTACAGCATCTATTTTCATCAGGAAGGAACCTASAGCCTGCACTGGACACTGACCACTGCCCTCCCAGCTCTTCCCTCTCTCCCCCAGGGCTCARCACGGAGTGGACGCTTTTCCAGAGAAGATGGGGATTGCCTACTCCTTTCTCAGCTCAGCCTGGGGTTGAGAAATTTTCCTGAATTTTCCATGAACACCACTGACCTCTCCATCCTGGAAGTGCTTCTTGAGCTGTTTGAGCATGACAGTGAGCTTCTTGGACTGCACCCCGCTGTAGGCCAGCAGCATGCTCCCGAACTGCCGCTCCGTGATCCGCCCGTCCACCGGGTCGTGCCGCTCGAACTGCAGGGGAGAAAACAGGGACAGAAAAATGAGCAGCAGCAGAAAAGTTCCACAGTATGGAGCATAAAAAAGGTACCATCAAAAATTAGCACTGCAGGAAATGCTGGTGAAGGAGAAATCCAGATATGCTCCAACACTTGCTTTCCCCAGTCTCTCAGCATTTTCCCTATGTGCAATTCCTTGGATAACTCCTGGGAGAAGCTTTTGTGTGTTGCCCTCCCAGTTTTATGTCACAGGACTGAGCTAATGTGTGGTTCCATGGCTGCTCTAAGCAGGGACAGTGGTGAATAAACCAGAGTCTTACAAAAGCTAAGTGTCATTTTACTCTTGCCCCAGTGTCCCACCAAGGGAAGGTTCATGGCTATCTCCAGACTTCACCTTCCCCAAGTTCTCCTTGTTCTCAGCCCRTTCCTGTCCCTGAGTCTGACAAAAACTGCTGTGAGGCCTCTGCAGAACTCCCAGAAAGCCCTTGGGCAGAAAGGTTTTCCCCACTAATCCTAAATCTTGCARTACTTTGTCTTCTGGCTCTCACTGCAGGGAAGGAGGAAAGAGCCATTGCCCAACTTGGGCAGGTGCAGGGCTGGAGCACCAGGTGTCTGTCCACTGAAAAATGGAGATTTCATCCTTTCCTTTYCCCCATCTTATGAACCCACAACCATCAGCATCAGACTGCACCAGTTTCACAGATCCCAGCACTCAGGATCCCTCATTCAGGATAGATCACACCCCTGCACATTTATCAGGAAACACCAGACYGGTACTCCAGCTGATCACGAGCCAGAATATGACATTTAACAACAAAATTAATTTTTAAATTGGTGGGGAACAATGTGGTACCAGTGACTGACATCTGCTGCCTGCTGAGCTCACCATTCCTGCCTCAGCCACTCTTCATTGCTAATGAATTTTTAATTATTACCATATCAACCAGATTTTGGCTGCTTTTCCCACTGAGAAAATCCCACCCAGTGATTCCTAATAAGTGAAGCACCAAGGCTGGAGGGATTTGCATGGGTGAGACTGGCAGGAAACAAATCCCAAATGGAGAAATTCTGCTCCTCAGCCCCTTGTGCTTTCACCTGAGTGGGCCACACAGTTTTGGGGAAAAGATGGTGGTTTTTGCTGTTATCTGATACAGGTTTTAGGGATCACTCATGATGCAAAATGTGCATCCTGTTCTCCTTTGCTGGGGAAAGGAGAGGGAAAACTCATTGGGAGGAAATGGTCTTCATTAAAAAGCAAAGTAGTAGTTTCTGCCATGCCTGAAGAATGTTAAGAAGTTTTACAATGCCCCAGGACACAAAAAATTGCTTTTGAAGCAGCATTGACACTTTCTTCTGCTGTAATATTCCTAATTTCATCCCCAAAGACACACACCGGCCTTTTTCTATCAATAGCCTTAAAATACCCCGAGTTTTAGCAGAGCTTCAGGTAGCACCTTTAATTAAAGGCTAGGAAACGAGTCCAAATATCTCAAATCAACCTCCTGAGTGGTGACTACGCTTAGGAAATCTTAAGTTGGTGTCTACAAACCCATCAATCCCTCTGTCCCTGCCCTGCATTCAGGATCAGGCACTAGGTAGCTTTATGGGGTAACACACACAAGCACAACACCTTGCAGATGGGAAGATAAAGAACCAGCTCCTTACAGTTTTTTAGGAACCAGACCTTCAGATTGTGGTCACTTTTGCACTACCAGATGGAAAAAAAAAAAAAAAACCAAAAAAAAAAAAAAAAAATGGTCACTTTTGCACTACCAGATGGAAAAAAAAAGAAAAAGACCATAAGAGAAAAATGAAAATACTTTTAATCTTAATTTTTCTGCTGATACACCACACAACTATTAGCAAGAAATTTAAAAAGCCTGAAAACCATGGAATTCATGGTTTGAATTGTTATTGTGCTACTTGTTATTTATCTCACTTTAAAATGAATTATCTGTAACATTAAACCAGAACTCTCAGATGCCCAAGAATTTTGCTCTCATGTACAGCAGTGTTYATTGCAAAGGTGAGCCCAGAAAGGGGCTGGGAAGTGAGAGCTGATCCACATCCAGTTCCCAAATTCCYATAAAAGAATTTATTTTTTTCAGCACTGAAGTGAGAAAAAGCAACAACATCACAGTAAGGGACAAAGAAAGTTCAAAACTTTCCTCCAAGCTACTGTCGGATGCATTTAAATTAATAACAGAAGAGATAAGCAGGGCATGTTATTTAAAGATGATGTAGACAAATTTCAGGGAGGGAAAACCTGTTGGTTTTTTTTTTTTTTTTTTTTTCTGGTGTGTCAGAGATTGTGTTTATCCAGAAAGAAACTTGGCTTCAAAGGATTTCTGAGTGGAAACTCAATGATTTCTGCTTAAAAAAAAACAACCCAGCTACCCTTTCCCACTTCCCTGCCTGGGAGCAGGGGTACATCCATGCTCCTCTGCTTTCTGGAATGTCTTCTGACCAAACTCAGCTCTGGAAATGAAGGAGGGTGCAAAGCTCACAGTGATTTTTCTCTCAGTGCTCAACACACAGCCTACAAACAGTGACAAGTGTTCAAATCCTCTGGGGATTTGAAAAAGCAGGAAAACTTGTGCCCTCTCACAGGTAATCCAGATCCTTTGCCTCCATGCATGGGATGACACCATACAGGTGATTCTTCTGGTCACTTGTAGTGGGGGAAACAACCMCAAACCCTACAAGAAGGGGATGCAGGGCACAGCACACTGGGATTTATTATGTTACCTTGTTTTAATTATGACATGGTTAAGRGGATAAAAGGGTTTTACTTCAGTATTTAATAGAAWTTAAGGTGCATAATTTGATGGACAACRYATATTATTATGTATATAAGTTTTAYAGACTTTACAAATTAGYRTATTTATCTAGAATTTTTWRATAAGAAACTTAACAAATGAAATAATGTCCCCCTGTTCTAAAGAATCTCCTTCTAGATGARGCTAGAGCTCAGTTTACACAAAATGTTCTAGAGAAGAGGCTTCAAKCAAGGTTRGAGCCTCAAATTTGAGACAGCACAGGGCACACTGACCTCTTACTGAGGATGTTTAATTTTTTTTTCTCAGTAGAAATTTGAAATTAAGTTAGAATACCAGGCTACAAGAATTATAAGCATGTAGGCTAAGGGTACAAGGAATATATAAAGGGTACAGAAAATGTTTGAAAAGTTATAAAAAYACATAAAAGGGTAYATARAAAGGAAAGGSAMAAATCATCAGGCATTGATTACAGGCCAACAAATCCTCTGCCAGTGTTTTTCCCTCTGGTGGATCTTAAGGAAGGAAAAGCAGGGCCAAAGCAGTCGCTCATCCGGCATTGCTGGGACCACACAGAGGGGGATGGAGCAGCTCCTGCTCCCAACACCCCACAGGGGGTACAGAGAGGATGGGGGTCCTACTCTGTCCCAAGCTCCACACAGAGAAATCCCCAAAATCCACACAGACAAACGGCCAGCGAGTCCAACCCCTTGGAGCAGCTTCCACTCACAGCCACTTGGTGCCAGCAGTGGATTCTGCATCTGCAGCAGATGAGGAGAATGGGATACAATGCTGGCCAGGGTTCCTCCTGCAGGCCAGGACACCCGAGGGGATGGAGAAATTAGCCTGAAGTATAAAAGGCTGTGTTTTGAAATTCATTAGAAGCCAACGTGASGTGAGAGGAAATCCAAGGCGTTTATGGAACAGCTCCTCAGGAACTGTAGTGACAGGACAGGAGGGAAGGGCTTCACACTGAAAGAGGAGAGGTTAGATGGGATATTGGGAAGGAATTGTTCCCTGGGAGGGTGGGCAGGCCCTGGCACAGGGTGCCCAGAGAAGCTGTGGCTGCCCCTGGAAGTGTTCCAGGCCAGGATGGGGTTTGGAGCACTTTAGGACAGTGGGATGTGTCCCTGCCCATGGCAGGGGATGGAATGGGATGAGCTTTAAGATCCCTCCCAACCCAGGCCATTTTGGGATGGGGAAGAAACCCTATGGGAAGGGAAGAAGCCCTTCACTGCACCAGCTTAGCTAGCCTTGATCACATCAGGGCACTTAATGATTTTCTACTATTGAAAGGATTACCCCTAACATGTTAAATACATGTTACATAGTCCCAAACTCCCCAGTCTGACAGGATGAGCACATTYCTGCTCCTCTGTAAGCTGAAATGCTCAGCTTTGTTCAAACAAATGACCCCACTCTCCTTCCTTCAGGGCTGAGGAAMCATTTCCTCGCACAAGAACAGCAGAGAACAAATCAGCAATTTTCTCTGCTYCCACATCTCCTTCATTGCACAACTTTATGGAAAGGCAATACAAAGATCCATCATAAAACAACAGACCCAAAATCTCTTTTCTTCATCGCTTCACTGTTTTTCCCTCCCACTAAACTCAATCCACTTTCCCCTGCAGGAAATCAAATCCCAGGTTCTGAGGAGCATCCAGCCCAAACAAATTCAGAGACACCACCATGAGAAACATCCTGGAATGTTTTTTCCCTGGTGGGAAAAGAAAAAAAAACAAAACCTGCTGCAATTTCCTAAATGCAGACATGGGTTTCCTTTGATCTCTCCTTCTGGCAGCATGGCTTGCTGGTGGGAAATGAAGCAGCTCCAATGGCCTCAGAAAAAGGCCAAGTTTGGGTATCAGACACTTGTCAGGGGAAGGTTTCTCTTCTTCCTCCTCAATAAATTTGTCCTAAGCAATAGCTTTAATAGAGGAAAATTCTACCTAAAACTCCAGTGCTAAAATCCTCTCTAGACAGAGAATRGAATTTTAAGAAATGGGGAGATTTAATTAAGAAATTTGTGTTTGGTGAAGAAGAAGATGGTTAAAATAACGTGCAGGTTCTTCACTTGGCAAAGGCACAAACAACATTAGGGATCTGCATTTGGGATCCACCAAAACCCATCGGTGCAGGAGGGAAACACCCAGCAGTAACACAACCCAGCAGGATGAAAACACAGCTCAGACTTTTCCTAAAGCAATGCCAAAAGGATATATTTCCTCTCCTCTTCAAA